CATGCTTACTTTACCTCTCTGTTTAATCTGTTTCTCCTCCCTAAGAATGTAAATGCGAGGATAAGTACAACGACTGTCAAGGTTGGATGAACTCGGGTGAATGCGGGCTCAATCTCATGTGGATGTCAACGAATTGCGCCAAAAGCTGCAGAACATGCGGAGGTATGATGTCACAATATTGACCATTCAAAGATTGCACTTTTTTTAAATTTATTTTCTTCGCAATTATCTTATTCATTTGTTTGATTTATTTGCAGAGCCCCCCTCTGGTGAGCTTTATGGATCTTAAACATGAATCATTTATCGTTGAGTATATGCACAATCTTCGCCAAAGTCTGAGAGTCTTCAATTCATATTACATATTAATTTAAGTGCGATGTCACGTAAGAGTAAGGAAGATACATATATAGATGGAACAGCGTAACCCTCGATAAGCTGGAAAAACTCGATAAGCTGGAAACCACTCCGCTTCGCGTCGTGGTTTCCTACGCTTATCTCGTGTTCTCCCAACCTTCCGCGTGTTTACATCAGGCTATGTAAACACGGAAACCATTTTACATTTCTTCAATGTAATCACTAAATGAACGAGTTCTACGTTTCTCCTAAACTCACTTGACTCTTTGAAATGGAGACATTGAAAGGTATAAAAATAGCACAATATGTTCATTGTTTAACATCATTATATATCTAGCTCGTAGGAAAACATAACTACAGAATACACTAATGGAACTCGCCGTGGTTTGTAAAGCGATTACTTTTTTGGAGATCTCGCAAAAATCTGGTCTTTTCTTTGCTGAAATATCTCTCTTACCTGCTTCTTTATCCCTCGTTGACTTTCCTGCGATTTAAATTTAAGATTGTCAGGATGTGTACCCAGTGGCGTGCGAGACCTGGGGAGCTGGTGGCGAATGTTCTAAGAACCCAATATGGATGAACGCGCATTGTGAGAGAACATGCGCTCAGTGCAAAGGTGAATTAATCAGAAACTTATCGAGTCAGCCAAGAATATTGTCAGTTTTGTTACACCCAGAATTCTTGATTAACTCCTGATGAAAGTCAAACGCAATGAATTTTTTCATTTTCTGCTTACAAACATTCCAGAAAAAGATAAACACGAAAAGATATGCAGTTACTTTTTCGTATCTTTCAATGCAGGACCAACTCAAGCGCCTACCCCACCCCCTGTTGGTACAACTAAGCCACCCCAGCCTCCCAAGCCTACCACACAACCAACCGGAAACTGCAAAGACGTTTATCCTAAACACTGTCCCGACTACAAGAAAAGGGGAATGTGCACCACTCATGTCGACTACATGACCAGTGTCTGCCCTGCTACCTGCGGATGAAAGTCAATGTGACGAAGAAAGGAAGAATCCTTAATCGTAAGAGTGGCCACTTTTATGCAAGTACCGTCTAAAAAGTCTCACGTTTCCTGTTAATGGCGCTGCTTACAAACATTCCAGAAAAAGATAAACACGAAAATATATGCAGCTACTTTTTCGTATCTTTCAATGCAGGACCAACTCAAGCGCCTACCCCACCCCCTGTTGGTACAACTAAGCCACCTCAGCCTCCCAAGCCTACCACACAACCAACCGGAAACTGCAAAGACGTTTATCCTAAATACTGTCCCGACTACAAGAAAAGGGGAATGTGCACCACTCATGTCGACTACATGACCAGTGTCTGCCCTGCTACCTGCGGATTCTGTGGTAGGTAAAACGATTATTACCAATGTGACGAAGAAAGGAAGAATCCTTAATCGTAAGAGTGGCCACTTTTATGCAAGTACCGTCTAAAAAGTCTCATGTTTCCTGTTAATGGCGCTAGTTAGGGTTAAACTTGAGCGCAGTCTAATCTTCATATGCAGGTGAAAGGCACGTGAAAAGCATTTGAAATGTATGTGAAAAGTGTTGACCCTTTCCCACAGAGTTTCCATATGCTTCTCACTATTAGTTCATAAGGCCCCCATAAGGTCTACATGCAAAAAAGCGTGTACTCACGCATACGCTAGGAGCCTTTTAAGCTCAGGCCTCCCGCAGGGCGCATGTGTAAATAGTTAACGAGGTGTGGTGGCCTAAAGTTTTCCGCTTTAAATTCCAAACCGGGAAGTCTAAGGTCAAGCCCGGACCAGAGTTACTGTATAATGTTCTTGGGCCAGACAGGGGCTAGATGCGTTACTCTCACAATGCCTCTCATCTCGGGTACCAGGTGAAATTCTTTGGGGTAACCCTGGAATGGACTATCGTTCCATTCAGGGGTAGTAGCAATACTCCCCATCGCTTCATGTTACAAAAGTCGCGATCGCTGTGAGCTTCAGAAATGCGGGCCTTTTGGCTCGGGAAGGGGAAGGGGATGAACCTGTTCGTTTTGCTTTCTCTCTAGGTGGATCAGGGAATTGTAAGGATGTTTATCCTCAGTACTGTCCAGGGTACAAACAAAACGGAATGTGCACTGATCCTAACTATTTGGATTACGTCAAAGAGGTTTGCAAGTGGACTTGCGGCTTCTGCAGTGAGTATCATTTGACGTTTTTCTAGCTCTAAAGCGAGGTGTCATGATGGAACTCATGACAGACTCTTTTCGAAACGTCTAGGTACTAAGAATTAGTTTTATATAAATTATATCCTTTAAAAAATATGAGGAATAGTTGGCATAATGTTAACTCAAGATCGTTAGAAAACCTTAAAGACACTTTTTTTGTGGTTAAAATAAATATCTGTATGTGGTTTAGTTCATGTTCAGGAAAGTAAGACTCTAGGTTGAGTTTTGTAGTCAACTGGGGATAACTTGGATCTTGCATCACTTACCTTCCTACCCACCTTTCCTGTATAAGGACATAATACTGAAGAGACCCACTGTCCTTTGTTTTCTAGGCTGAGCCGTTCGTTGTTGAAACACGAAAGGACCCATGACTGTTACATGCTGCAAACTTACCATGGATCATACAAGAAGAGAGCATTTTCTTTACAAAGTCAAAGTTTTGCTTAGTTCGTTGATGCATCATAAAGAAATTAAAAGTGGTAATGATCCTGACTGAAAATCGTGTGAGCTTTCTAATGAAACTTAGCATAGCATGGGCCTGGGCCTGATGACCGTTTTCAATACCATCAGTTTGGGTAAGAGGATATGTTTACAATCTCTTGGTTTGGGAGATATTTTGGATGAATTGTAAAGTATGGTTAGGTTTATTTAATTAACCCGAATCCCTGCTCTTGTTTTTTTGCTCTTTCGTTTTTCTTGCGGCGGGTGAAAAAATGGAACAGTTTTTTCCATCAAGAGCTAGAGTTCAGACTTCAATAATACGTACTGATTCCTTTAAAAACACCGGTCAAGAAAAATAGCTTGAAACTCAGATTTAACGAGATGCCATAGGTTCCCATGACGTCCTGCAGAACGTTTTTTTAGCCAATTATCCGTTATAATATTAGATAAAGATGGCCATAGGCTTATGAAACGTTGCCAAGTGCCAGGTTATGTGATTGTTTTAATTGTTTTGTTTTTTAATGAAAGCGTTGACTTTTTTGCGCTTGATGTTTGCACAAAACCTATATTTTGCTCAAAATTGCTCAGAAAGGCAAAAATAGCTAAAACCACAAAAAGTTACTCCAAAAGCCAAAAGTTGCCCAAAAAGTTTCCAAGCGCAATCAGGACAGGCCTAACTCTCAGCGCCTCCACAGAGGAATTAGCAAAAGGTACCAAATACCACGCCTTGGAACGCAGTTGAAGCTCTCTGGGACCCAATCTCTCCCTGAGAATCGCCGTCTACAACTGAGAAACCTTGCCCGATTAAATCAACAAGGCTTAAGTGTCTTTCAATAAGCCATGAGAACAATTATGCCCATTCTGAAATGAGATTTAAAATCACAAATGAATACCGCACGCTCAAAATCAAGAGTCGGTCTGTCACTTATTCATACACCGTTAAGCGCGAGAAGACTCCCTTTTAATGACCAACCAACGCATAATTAATTTTTCAGCTTCGGATTCTCACTTTGTGCGAATAAATTCGCACACGAAGCCATATTGATCGAAGAAACAGTATTTTGTGGGTCACTAGAAGACCATCAGAAGTCAATCATGTAATGTTGTTTTAATTTCACGGTAGGTAAATAACCTCGAAAACTTTAATGATATGCATTTCAACTAAAGAGTTACTTCTCCATTGGGTTTGAATGTAAATTCCTCGAAGGGCTTTCATTCTAAGGCAAGAGACCCTCTAGATTCACTCTTACTATTTTCAAAGAACCGAGTTTTAAACGACAATTCTATCTTTCAGTTTTGAAAGTTCAACGCACGTTTTTCGTGAATGCTATATTCGAAACTCAAACTCAGCATGTTTTAGGTGCTTTATCCTAGTAGTTAGACTCACAGTTCTTGGCTCATTTCCATTCATGTGAGTAATTCTTATCGTTGATTTTATTGCTGAAAAGAAGGAAAGGCCTTTTGACCTCTTACAACCTGTCGATAACGTCTATGTACTGTTGATCCACGTATCGTGTCATGTTAACTTTTCTAATCGAGGTGTTGAAACTGCGGTTTAGTTCCCCGATCGAGCAAAAACTATTCAGTGACTGTTTTAAATTGATTTTGTTTACGGTCGAAAGAATAAAAGAGAAAAAAAACCAACAATAAGGTGACATTGTGATATCGAAACATGGTCACGGCGCTACGGGAATCAACTTGAAAATTTGCGAGAGACCATCGCGTTCACAGAGTAAATTTTGAAAAGAGAACGTCCGATCGAAGGCGATTTCCTCATTTCCCTTTTGCACATAAAGGAGCTAATAATGATTGTCATTATTGGGAAAGCTTTGTTTCCCAAATTCACATATATTACAGCTCTTCTTCGGGTTTTCGAAAGTGATGAATTTCTGTTATTGTCAAATCCTCATAACTTTGTTGTTGAGCAGGTGTTTTCTGTCCTTTTCAATCGACATTGTTCGGGCGACCAATCGGAAAAGAGCCATCTGCTAAATTACGCTCAGAGGAGTGTGACCGAAACAACACTGCAGCTCGTTCATTTTGCATCTCGCTGCAATTACAACTACGGTAAATTTGAGCGGCTTTATGTAATCTACAGTCATTAAGCTTGATTTTGGCGTTGTACGCAATTTCCGAAGGAGGTCCTTTTCGATTTAGCATTCACGATTCGTCCGCACGTCTGACGAATAGAAAAGTTTTCCGGCCTGTGTGTATGGCGAACACCGGAGGCAAACATATGTTGATGACGGGTCTAGTTTATCAGAGAGGATCTGCGCTGCAAAGCGATGACGGCTGATCGGAGAGCTACTTCTTGAAAAAAAATTTTTCTTCAGAGATGCCGAATCTGTCTTTCGGTGGCCCGAGAGATCGCCCGCGTGAGTAGTTATATACAATCAGTTAATTTTTTACGGCATTCTAACCAGATCAAGTCCACAATTGCCCATCGACCTTTGTTTTCAGATCAAAATTGCGGATGTCTAGCACTATGGTAGCAATTCGAGTTTATAGAGTTTGACATAGCTATTTCATGTATGCTCGATGTGTTTACTTTTCATTTCGTCTCACTCATGACTGTTGTGTTGTTACTATATAAGCTGTGCGTAAATGCGTTTGTTGTCAAGCAAAATGACATTCGATTTAATGATCTGAAAGAAAAAGAACAATTACCATAGGCGTAACTTCTCGAGGCGTTAAAAATTGAATTTTCGACGGGTTTTTTATAAACGTATCGCCGTAGGAAACACTAACCTCGTGTTTCAAACGTTTGTTTTGCTTCCATAAACTATTGCGTCAGTGCAGCCGCCCAGCCTTGTTCGGGAAAACAGATTTCGACGCGGGGAAGATTTTCCCTTAAAATTGCTGGAAAGATAACATTTTCCCTTTACTGATCAGATCTGATATTGATCTTGCAGAAGGTTATTCATCTCATCATGATTTGAAAAGAATTCTTATTTTCGCATGTGCAATTAGTTGTAAATTTCTGCTGTTGATTGTTGAGAAAGTTATGATTTTGAATGAAAGTTTTCCAATAATCAGAAGGCGAATTAAAACTGTTTGCATTTTATTTGCGCCAGTGATAAGCAGGAATAATCAACGTCTACTTTTGCCTTTATTCGTTTGGTCATAAACCAAACATCTCATCACGAGAATTTCCAGTTGAAAGTAATATTGTACATCTCCAATAGATCATAAAATCATTATCCTCAAAACAACAAAAAAGTAACATATGCCCTAAAGGAGCAAGGACAGATTTTGACACAGGGAAGATTTTCTCTTAAAATTGCTGGAAAGATAACATCTTCCTTTTACTGTCTTCCATATTATACATGCATTGCATGGTTGCTGTAATAAATTGCTCTTGACTCTAAAATTTCTCTTTCTGACTGACCACTTTTATATGAGAAAACCTAACACTTGTTTTGGCGGACAGTTTTCCTCTCTGAATGCTTCCTGTACTTAGCCAGATGATATTTAAAGATAAGAACAGCCTAAGCTATACGATAACCTAATCTGTCCTTCCTTCAAGGTGCCCAAATGTGTTTGTGTTAACGATATTACATGCGCTTGGTGAATTTCGGCCATTTATATTGGGTTCGTTAAGCAAGAGATATTGGACATTCTTCAAACACAATGTAAAATTTGCTAGCTTTAATAAGCTTTTTTTTCTTCTTAAGACAAGTTCAGAGTTGGCTTGACTTATACTCTGTAATATTACCTTACTTCAACATCTCTCCATAAAAACCCTGGACTTAGCCATCTGGAAAGTTAATTTTGCATATGCAGATTAAACAACACATTAAATTTTTTCATTCCCTGTTGTACCATCTTGGCCATTTGCGGCACTTTTACATACCCTAAAATTACTAACATTCATCAGTCATGCCTTGTGGTAGTAGTATCAGTGGGGTTCAAAATGGTTCCTAGAAAGAAATAGGGCTCAGAAAATCTTGATCCAATTGGCAAATTCAGGGATCAGCAGGTGTGTGAATTAGGAAGTCTGTTGGGAAGTTTGGTCTTAACCACTATGTATGTTTTGCCAAAGGAGCTTCAAAGAAAGTGCTTTTCAAGATTTTGGCTTAATTCTTATCAATCAATTTTGGTGTTTTGCTTTGTACATAAACATGATATGTTCTGCAGAGTATGGTCAAGACGAATGAATATAGGTAGATGAAAATAATGAAATTAAAAAAACAATACTGGTGGATCATTGGTGAATTAATTGACTTCAGTTAATGTAAGATATCTCAAACTGATTTACATATGGATAAAGGCTGGTTGTTTGCTTTGCTTAAGTTGAAGGAGGCTGCCAGCTGTCTCATGATTTTGTATAGAATTATGTTGTTGGCATCTGAATCCCAACTAAAAATATGATGTTGGAATATCAGTTTCAACAGAGTTTGAACAGTAGTATTTATAAGGTTTTCTGCAAGGCTTAAGGTATATGTACCTTTAAAAAAAGATTGGATGCTTTCAGTATTTCCCAAACCAATCACTCCTTAAAAGGTTGATGTTAGGAGTTCAGGCAGTCAAAAGCTTGAATGGGTTTCTTTGGAAAGAACTTTATTAGTTGAACAATGCTCAAATTTAACTATGATCTATTGCAGTGGGGTTGGACTCTATTAATTAGAAAACTTGAAATTGCTTTGTCTTTGAGAGTGGGTCATGTAGAGGTTAGCCAATTCATAAATCAAAATTGAAACATACTGTCTGATTTAATTTTAATTAGAAACTCTGCTTTCTACAAGTGTAAGTGCCTTGCATTTCCTTGTAAATAAGTGAGGATAAATTTTTGCTCAGTATCATGATTCATGAAGGTTATTTTAACCCCCTCCCCCCTCTCTATAGCTGATTGAAGTGGTTATTCTCTTCACCTGCTTGTGTGAATTATTTTATAATTGCAATGAGAAGTTAAATTTTTAATCACATCAGGGAGTTTAAGGGTTCTTATTTCATTATGGCACTGAGTGTTATGAATGGCTAACTGTATAAGGTTTTTCACAAAGTAAGTGATCATGAGATATTACAAGTGCCCTGATTGGTCAAAAACTGTCTATCCTTTTTGCACTGGTAAACCCATAGAAAATAGAAAAATTTTAAGTTGATTTTAAAAAAGCAATGGAGCAACACTTTCTACCAGTTTACAAACAAAATAAACCACTTAGGATGTTTAGGGAACACTTATAAAGTTTGTCAATCACTCACATCTGGCTTGTGATTTACAGACTTTTATCAAGTTCTTTCATCATTCTGCATGGGTGATTATGCCAGTAACCTGATAGAAAGTGAAGTCTGTTGCTTAATTTACCGTCTAGTAAGCTTTTAATTCCAGTAGAGCAAGGAATGTGAGTTACAGTATGATAAAAAAAAAATTGTATGTTAGACACAAAATAGTTTGTAATGAGAAATTTCTTGCAGAGGTATCACCCATTGCATTCTCAGATTACATTGACCTCACAATTAAGTTTACATAACATCCTGATCAGCAGGTGACTCAAGACTCTTGCTTACTTTCTTGGAGTTCTATAGATGACTTTAGGTAATGAGTGACTGATATTTATTGCTTATTAAATGTTCCTATCTAGGAGGCTCTATCTGTGAGCCAATGATGCAGACAACAATGGCAGGAAGAGTGATGTTGATTCATCAGCTGGTGATGAAGGGCGATTTAAAAGAGTTGAAGAAGGAGATTGCAAAGGATATAGGTTTGTTGTGAGGTTTATTACTTGTAAACAGTTCCTTGTCTTCCTAATAGTCTGCTAATGAACATTGTAGATCTCACAATGTCCAAAGCCACTTAATAAGGCCACTATTAACAGCGAGGGGTGAACATTAATACTGGTTGTGGCTGGTCTTTAACATAAAAGTGTTGGGTGAAGGTCATTTGCATGGTATTAATTATAACAGCTAGAATGTCTCTTGTAACTTAATATGAATGACACTCTGCAGTGTCACAGGGGTGAAATGTATACAGCTGTTTCCAGAAAGGTTGGTAGATTGAAGAGTGTAAAGTGTACACTCACTATGAACTCAAAACCCATGAAAATCTTGTGAAATAATTCATTGTAAATTCACAGATTTTTCACAGGATTTTCATGGTTAAATCAATGACATTTTCATGGTCTCAGTGCCATGAAAAAGACCTGAAAAATCCCATGAAAAACCTGTGAAAATTTCCATATTCACGACCCATGAAATATTGAGTAAAGTGACCTAGAAGCCATGAAATACCCATGAAAATGGCATTTCATGGCCTTTTCAAAGGTACTGAGAAACCCATGAATTTCAAGCCCAAAATTTCATGGTGTCAAAGTTCACTAGTTTTTAATGGGTTGCAGCAAATCATGACCCATGAATATCCTGTGAATATGTTAAAAATTCATTGACCATGAAAATTTTCCTTGAATTTTCATGGCCTCTACATGGTTTTTTCATGGCACATGAAAGTTAATTGCCAGTTAGTTTTCATGGGGTTGTTAGGAATATGCAAGCACCTTGAAAATTCTTTGGAAACCCCATGAATTTGGAATTAAAAATTATTCACTTTTCTTGTACCAAAGACTGTACTACAGCGTATAGCTTGCAGTATACCATAACTGTAATACATACACTATCACTTAAATTATACACTGAAGAACTAACCTATCTGTGAAACTTCTTGGTCCTGTTGTACAAGCACACACACATGAAAGACATGACCAGAAGTCTGGATTCTCTGATAGTTTATTTTGTTTCACCAGCTGTACATAAATATTACTTTAGGATTCCAAAATTGTGATAATTCAGTTTACACTTTCTTAAATAAAAAAAGTTGGTATGAAATTTTCTGCATAAAATTAAGATGTTAATGATTTTTAGCTCTATTTTGATATCACTGATTTTCCTTGTGGAGACAGATTCTTCTCCTATATTTCTGTTTATTTAAACTATTTTGAAGGTATATTATAAATAAATTTGATGTGAAAAATATTTGGACGAAATTATTGAAAATATACTCACTGGTTTGATGTATTTTTGTCTAAACTTCAAATATCATTTCCTTCGTCTAATATCATGTGTAAAATGTTATGGACAGTTATTATAATGTCTATTTATGTAACAGCATTCATGTAAATTTCTTGATAAGTTTTACACTTGTGATCAATACTCTCAAGGTAACTAACAACAAAACAATTACCAACTTTCTGCACTCTTGCATGTGTGAAGATATATCTATGGCTGACTATGTCAGTGTCTCTCTGTTTTGGCCACCTGAATGTGCCATCCTTCTTTCGGTTATCATTACTATTTGCATCTTCATCATCATTTGAACCAAGATAGGCTGCTTTAGCAAGTTTGCTTTTCCTTTCATCAGTTTTGTAGACCAACACTCTTCACTGTTTGCAAAATAAAGGGAGCACATCATCAGTTATCTAAGAGCCTTTCTTATGTACGTAGTAAACCTAGAAATGGATAACTCGCTAAAACAGGTTCTTTTCAACATGAAGCCGTCCGATACTAAGCGACGCACTGTGGAAGTGAGGTGAGGTATTTCGTATTCAGAATTTGACTGTATTTTTTATTCCTAAGAACGGTCGTAAGTATTTCCATACAAACTCTTGTGATGTTTCGCCAGATGATCACAGAATAAAAATTTTCAAGTTAAATCAATAGTTAGCGCGCGCGCTCCGATGTTTACGCGTAATAAGATGACCAAGCTTGAACTTACCCCTTCACGTTGTAATGCATATCGATAACTTCATCTTGAGGAAACCTCTTTGAAAAAACTTTTCAGACAGTCCATTGCGTTGATCTGGAAAAAAAGAGACTGCTACACAAACACTACGAGAAATGCAATTGGAATGGAACCATTCCGTTCGAGGTACGAAAAAAACCGCCACTTCTTCGTAAATCACGTGTACTTTCACGTGGTGACCTTAGGTCATCGCAGCCATCATAGGTCAGCGGTCACATAGTGACCTCACAGGTTATCGTGTTCGACGTTACGAAATGACTCCGAAGAGGTCTCGTTGCTGCGTCTGTAATCTTACAAAATAAAGCAGCACAAAAAGCTGTTCGGTATTTGGAATTCGAAGCAAGTAACAATCGACAGGACATCAGAGTCCAAGAAAGTCAGAGCTGAAATCGACAGTGATTCCTGTGAAAGCGATCACGAAATCAACAACGATGTTGTAGAAGGCAATCTCAATGAATACATGAAGGTAACCTTTCATCCCGACTGAGAAGATGGCCTGACTCTGTTAACCGGCGACTCTATGAACGAGGTAAAAATAGCATTTTTTTCAGGTTACATTTGCACACTATTCAAAGTTCCAAATTGAGGTGACAAAGTGATTGATTTTTCATTGTTTTGTTCCACATTTCGTGTAGATGCAATGCGTACTATTGCTGTGCAATTTAAGCATCTGTACTCTGCAGCTGCCTTACGGGAAAAGCCCTAGAAGATTCCTCAGTCGTAAGAATGTAAGAGAAGGCCTTGAACAGGTTTCCAGAGTCATGGCTAACAATCAAAGCCAGTAGTGAGGCAGAAAAAAAATCAACAAAGTCGTCCAGGCATGGCGAAGGCAAAAATGCCCCAAAAAATCAAAGTGAGGATCAAACATCGGGGTCATTGCCTCCAGCCCCATTTGTCTCAACAAAGGAGCAAATTGAAGATCCATTGTTTTTAGTCATTGTTTTGTGATTTCCTGTACATTTTACGTTAACAAAGGCCACTTAAGATGTTTAGGGACATTTTCATTCGACAGTTTTCGCGCTGTACACCAAAATTCCATCAGTGGATAGATTTATAACAAGTCAGTTCCACGGATCATGAAAGTCAGCTCGTTGATAAATCAGTGACTGTGATGAACTCATTAATACCACTTTTAATGGCCTATGGATTTATCAATGAAATTCATGGGCAACAGATTTCAGGGAATATTCATGGCCCATTAATTTTGTTCTCCCAAAACAAATAAATTGTTAGCCCATGAAATGCTGTTTGATTGCAATTCATGGGCATAAAATTTATTCTGATGACTTTCTGGGGAAACTAATGGGTCATGAAAGTAGACTTTGAAGAAATTCATGGGTCATGAAAGTAGGCATATAAAGAAATTCATGGGTCATGAAATTAATTCTGGTGACTTTCATGGCAAATCATTGGGTCATAAATATAGACTTTGAAGAAATTCATGGGTCATGAAAAAAATTCCCCTAATTCATGGAAAATTCAGGGCTAAAAATAACCCCATGAAATTTCATTTTGCAGTATTCATGGGCCATGAAATGATCTTCATGGGTTTTTCACATGAAATTCATGGAATTTTCATAAAACTACAGTTCATAGTGACTACAACCCTGAAAGGTATTGTGAAAAAATATTCCATCAGGTTACAGTTCTTTGACCTCAGGATTTCAAAGAAATCTGAGAAAACATCTCTTTAATGATGAGGCATCATGGGTTAGATGAATTTATTTATTTATAACATTATTGCATGCACTCTTTTCTTTTTTCCTGACAAACAGCTGTATACATTTAAGGTTACAGTATATGTACTGTACATATTTCTGTTGAACCTGACTTGTCGCTCTAAGTATATATTTAAATTATTGCATGGTATCTTTTGTTAAAGATCTTTTAGATGGCAAGAATAGTGAGGGGATGACACCACTTTTCCAGGCTACAAGCTGTAATAACTTAGAGTGTGTTCAGTTCCTTGTTACATCTGGTGCAAATATTGATGCACGTGACAATGTTGGAAGGACTCCAGTTGCTTTGGCAGCTTATCAGGTAGCAGCCAGTAGCAATTTTTCTATATTTTACATCTTATATTGTATTTCTCCGATGATTCCATAATGATTTTATTTGCAGCCTTCCTTCCAATAAGTGCCCCCTCTCTGATAAGCACCCCCCTTGAATTTTTTTTTGTCAATAAGCACCCCTGTTGAGTAAGCACCCTCATTCAAATAAACATCCCTATTCTGTTTCAGTAGTAGTACTGTAGGAGTTCATGAACATTGATATCAACTGACTGGTCCATCTTCCTTTATAAATTGCTCACTTTAAGTCTCACAACACAAAAGGTGATCTTTGTCTCAGTTTCTCAACTATCTAATGTTGCCATGGGTGCACAGTTCTTTCAAAGAACAAAAGATCCTGTCTTAGAAACTTTGCAGCCATTGCTTGGCAAGTCATTCTAACATACGAAGTATCCTGAGGGACAACAATTCCATCTTCCAATCTTTTTTGATCCTCTGTTAAATAAACATCAAAGCTTTGCTTCACATTCTGCTGTTTCCCTAAAAAGCAATAAGCACCATGTCCTTAATAAGCAAGTGCCCTACAGTAGGCCAAAGTCAATAAGCTCCTCAGTTGCTAAATTGAATCACTGTGGTAAGCACCTGTGCCCAAGTGCCCTACTTCCCTGACCCTCCTCCCTTACATCCTTAAACGAGAATAGCAATCCAAAGAAAACCTGTTTTTATAGCCACTTTATCTGTAACTTTACTTCAATAACAGCAAAATCATTACAGTTTCATAGTTTCTTGATAAGCACCACCCTTGATGAAGCACCCCCCTTTTCCAATCAGGGCCCCTCCTTTAAGCTGACATTTTAACAGGCTCCTGGGTTTTAATTTGAAGAAGTAGGGTATTTTAGAATTTTTATGAACCTGTCATATATAGGCATAGGATTATGATTATTGTACTTCCATGATTAGAAATGGAGACCTGTTGGTAGAATGCAAGTGAGACTGAAAATTGACTGTGAGAATAAACATTTTATTGCCAGTTGTCAGAAGACAATTTCAGTGTCACATTTGGCCTCTTAATCAGCTGGTATTAATCTGAATGCCCCAACTGAAGTAGCAATTATTATAAGATGTCTTGAACAAATTTTATTGGATTGTTTATTCATGCAGTAACAAAAATTATTTATCCCTAAGGGCTGGCGGGCTGGTCTGTATTACCTACTTGCAAAAGGTGCCAATTGTTTGATTGCTGACAATGATGGCAGACTTCCTCTTCATGCAGCAACATACTTCAGCAATGAAAAGTACACAATCATTTTTTTTAAATATTATAATATTAATATTTCTTTTGCATATAAGCTCTCTGTTTAGCCTGACCTCTCTGACTCTAATAAACATAATGTCTGGAAACTTCAAAACATTTTAAGATTCTCTGTAAGAGACCTTATCTCATTTGTTGCTAAATTGAGTATGAGAATACTCAAACTAACAGATAGAAGTTGTTATCATGATCTAACACCAATTTCTCATTACTAATTTACAAGGAAATCTGAAGCAGCTACAGTCAGCAGAATTAACAATTTTATATTGAGAGGTGCCTCTTAGCTCAGTTACCTACCTCTGTGCTTGGCATGCTTTTAATATGGGTGAGACACTAAGACCTTCCCTCAGGTGACATATTGTGATGTAGTTTATAGTGGAGTAATTCTAGGTTGGTACATTGGCAAGAGTTGGTATATTGCCAAATATATATGTACTCGTTGAGTCAGTTATTTTCCACAGGGAAAGTTGGCAAACAAGGTGAGATACTTATCTGGTTGGAGCTTATGATTTCAGTTTCCATTGCAACACTGACTAATAAGAAGAATTACTATTTCAGCTTGGGAGCCAATGGAAGTTGAATGGGAGGGTATGAAATTAATGGTTGAGAATTGAATGAATGGCAATTAATTCTGCTTGACATATCTCTTTTGCCACACAGGTCTCTTGAAGTTCTGCTGCAGCATTTGTCACTTCAAGATGTGGATGTTAGAGACAATGAGGTGTGTTATGCATGTCAATCCATCCTGTAACCATGATTCACCACATCAACAACAGAGTTTTATTATTCATTTAACCACTGTTTATGTAACAAACAATGATAGAAAAATAGAAAGGAAAGCTAGGGGAACAACAATATATACTATGCAGAAAAGGAGCAGAAATCAGTTTTCTAAATACTGAATGTAAAGTTAATTTTTATTGTAGGGAATGACAGCACTTCACTGGGCTGCATTCCATGGCAGGACAGGTCATGTTAGATTGCTGTTGGAAAAGAAAGCTGATCTTCTGTCACGAGACACAGCTGGAAAATTACCTCTCCACTGGGCTGCTCAGGTGTTAAATACATCTTTAACCTTTTACATCTAACATCAGTATGCAAATTCTCCATACTGTTCAATTTTTATTTCCTCTGGTGCTTACCAGGAGAATCTGTTTGACAAATCGAAGCTTCTCAAATTGGTGATCATTTCCTTTATTCTCCTGACCTGTACAATTGATTTTAAGGTGACACAGTAGGGAGAGATCAGAAAATGAACAGGCTTGCATGTAATTTGATCTTGACTATACCGTCCCAAACTGGAACATTTTGCAATTGAATTTTACTTAATATTTTTATCATTGCATTGTTTCTCCAATAGAATGGCTATGTATCAACCTGTCAAGTGATGCTTGAAATGTGCGACAGTCACAACCTTGTCAATGGAAAAGACTTCTCAGGACGGTCACCCATTCACTTATCAGCTGCAGCAGGACAGTACTATGTCCTTGTTGAACTGACTGCTGTCCCATTTGCAAATATTGAAGCCTTGGATAATGATGGCAGGTAATAAGAGTCAATCAGATAACACATGTAGATGGTAATCTCGTAGTGGGGCATGCACATAACTTTATTTATCATTATTAAGTGGTAATCACTCTGTGACTGTTGACCCTTTGACCTCTAAGAGTGACTAGCATCTAATTTCTCCTTACAATTTAACCCCTGAATCAAATGTTAAGGTCAGGAGAATAAAGAAAATGATCCTAAACTAAGGAAACTCTTGATTGTAAAACAAATTCTCCTCATCAGCACCTCAGAAAAAGTATACAGAGCAGTATGGAGAATATGTATACCGAGGTTCTTGAACTAAACCCCAGTCATTGAGCTTATGAAAGCAGACCAAACTCAGAATCTGAACAGCTGTGCACCCAGTCCCCTCCCCTAACTCAGCAATAACCTTTACCAGTTATCAGTTGACTGTTGTTGGATAAGGGGAGGGGAAGGTGAGCAGTTGCTTAGATTCTGACTTTGGAACAGTGTGGAGAGAATACATATTGATGTTAGCACAAAGAGGGTTATGATCATTTTGCACTCAACAGTATAGCATCAAGAAAAACTGATTGTACCTTGGCTGATGGTAAAGATAATCTATGTTTTCTAGGAACTAATCTGTTTATCAGTCCATCTTTGAAAACATTTGCAACTTCCCAAAAAATGAAGTGTCTATAACATTATTTATTTTTGTGTGATAGAACTCCTCTTCACTGGGCAGCAGCTACTGGGCATGCTGATTGTGTTGCTCATTTGCTGAGACTTGAAAGTGACAAGGAAGCTGAAGACAAACATGGTGGAACTCCGTTACAGTATGCTCAACAGGGACACCACTCTGTCTGCTCTCAGTTGTTAATGGCTCATGATCCTAAAAATCCTCTTGCTACAGAAGTACCAATGAGAAAAGGTAATTCTGCTCTGATTTTGTAGTTACAACATAAAAAGGTTAATGTTTTATGATGAAAGAAGACTATAATTGAATGCATAACCCACCTGAGGAAAAGAAATTTAACCCTTTAACTCACATGAGTGACCAAGACAGAATTTCTCCTTACAATATATGTATCAATACAATATCAAGCAGACAAATGATGATGATAAAGAAGAGTACCAATGAAGGGATTATTAGTTGATCCAATGACAAATTCTCCAAACTATCATCATAAGAATTGTTTGAGGACAGTGAGGAGAATTTATAATTAGATCTTGGGAGTGAGAGAATTAAGGGGTTTACTTATAACTAACAGAATCAAACAAAGCAGTCAAATACCTGTCATGTTCTGGAATACATTTTTTCCTTTGTCTGCATGGCTACTACAAAATCTTTGGAAAACACAGACCATCATCGTAGTAGGAAAAGTAATGATGCTGATGTTGGCAACTTCTTGATGAAGATTATTAGGAAACTCAATATCACAATTTAATGGTTTACATAGGTCTCTCCTGAGAAAACTTTTGTCACAGTGTGTAGATAATTGTTTAAACCCTACTCAGGTTGAACTCTTTAAAGCGTACCATCGATCAGTATGCATATTCTCTATACTGTTCTCCATACATTTGCTAAGGTTCTGACAAGGAGAATTTGTTTAACAATCAAGGGTTCTTTAATTAGTTGGTGTTCTTTTCCTTTTTTCTTGTAACGTCATAATATGTGATTCAGGGGTGATTGTGATGCTGATGTTGGTTAAAATACCATTGCAAGTCTGATGTGAATTTGAAAAAATGTGAGATTGAATTTATGTTACAAGACTTATAAAGATTTTTATAGAAAGATTTTTGGCTCTTTGAACTGATATCAACAAAGACCACATTTAGAATAACTGAACCATACTAAAAATTTTATTTGGATAATCATACATGCTCAATAATCTCTATCTCTATTCTCTGAGTTGAATAAGTCTTTCAAGGGCTAAAAAAATATATAGTGCTTCTTCTGTCTGATCATATTAATTTTTTGGAATTAAATTGATCACTATATATAGAGTCTTACATTGCAGACTTAATGAACATTGGAATCACATGCAAATGAAAAAAATTTTAAACTGGCGATCTGATGTTGAAATGAAAACATTTTATGAAATTACAATCATTAAAAAATAGGATAGCTATAATTTTTTTTTTTTGTGCAGAGTTAAAGATGTACACAACCCTCTGTGGGTATTGTGATGATGTTTTCTACATAATTTCGTGACATCCGGTTTTGTTGCTTGTGTTGAGGTTTTACAATAGGTATCAGAGTGAAATAATATTCACCTTAAGTGACTTCAGGTTTTTATTTCCCCTCCAGCTGCTCTTTTTCCTATTATGTCCTTTTGGCTGTTTTTTGATATGCAAATTTACACCTGCCTCTGTACGTACAAATAATTATTGTTTTATGTTTTGCAAAAAACAATCTTAATATTGTTGCTAAATAGAGGACTTGCAATGTGAAAACTCTTGTAAATGTGGCTTATGATGATGAAGCAAGAAATTTGTCTTGCCCTATATTTTAAATACCACTAATAAATTTTTTTAATTTGTTTAAGTTTTACATTTGATCTCTTTCTTGGCTGTTTTTAATTATCAAAACATACCTTTTTTAATTTTACAAGAAGTAGGCTTCTGTCTTCAATTAATTCATCTTTTGTTTGGGGTTTGTTTGCTGAAATTAAATACTGTTTGAAATTTGCATTTTAGACAAGAGACAGGTTTTGCCCAGTGTGTGGTAGATAACATCAGTTTTAGATTTGCATGCTATTTTGAACACATGATTGTCGCCGCTGATTACATGGTTGGAGTTTACTTTTCAAAACCGGTGGACACTGTATTATTTATATCAGACTGTGAACTCTTTTGTGTATAAAGTAAGGACTTAATTCATCCATGCAGTTTTTAAATATTCATTTGGTTTATGGTAAGAGTGTCTGTTCAGAGGGTCATTATGTTACTTTTAGCTTTCGTTTTATATGTATGGAGGTTCTCAAGTGATTGTTTTTATGTGGAAATGTGTCAAATGCAGGTACGCAAATATTCACTGTCACATACTTTCCATTTTTAGACTAAGAGGCCTTTGTGAAACAATAACATGCAGCTTATTGCTGCAGTATACTTTAAAGAACTGATTTTCAATTGGTAGAAAAAATTATGAATTTGCTTTCATGCATATTATCTAACATTTAGATATAATGTTAGCTTTAAAATTGTTCAGAGTTTTAACACATTTGAAGCATAATTCTGTTATGAATTTCAGTTCTAGTAAGTTGCAGGTATATTCTGTGGATTTTCGTTCACCGTTTTGTCAGGAGAGCATTACACAGTCAAGCTTGATTCATTTTTCAATGTACAATTTTACAGGGATAAGAAATTATGATATAACTTTTAATTGTTCTATAAAATGTATATATTATTAAACTTTGTACCATGGAATATGATAAGATTTTTTAAAATTGTTATGTTTTTTTAAGCAGCCAATTGTGTGCATATCTTTACCTTAATATCTTGCCTGCAAGTTCTGTGAGTTGAGATACACCATACACATTCCACTCTGATTTTTTTTTGTCAAAGGCAGGAAATTCTTGTATCCTAAGTACCAGCATTTTCTGATTAAGAGTATATTTATTCAATCATATCCAAAGATACATCAGATTTTCCAAACTGTTCTAAATATTTTTAGTGATGTTCCAAATATGTTCTTATCAGGTATCATAGAGTGTTAATACATTCAAACTAGTCTTTGGTGGACTTTCTTCCACAAACAAAGTATTCCACTTATGTACCATCATTTGCAAAGACTTTTCTTTTCTTGTACTGAAATGTAAGTTCATTTAACATTTTACTTTTATAGGAATGTGTCATATTGCAGAGAAATGAAGAAAAAAAAACAAAGCAAAACAAAGAATCTTCACCTGTTTACATACAGTTTCTCAACTTTGTGCCAATTAAAATGAACAAACATTCTAGCTTTCACCTTGTTAAGGCAGACATGGTTTTTTTAAATATAAAAAAACATTATTTTAAAACTTAAGATGCTCTCAGACCCACATTGTTAGATTAAAGCTTGTCATTAAGTTTCAACTTTTTTTTTTTATCACTATATAAATGTGACTATGGCTGCAGAAAACAGTAAAAAACATCAGAACTAATTTCATTTTAGACCAAATTTTTATCCTTATCTTTACCATAAGATAAACTTTCATAACTAAATTCCTTCCTCTCTGACCCTACTACAGGAAAATCTCAATGTGCTATTTCTTATTGAAGGTTTTTCTTTTCTTGTAAATTCTCTTTGCACTAGGTTCACCTACAGAAAGTCTTCCTCTTCCTGAAAATAGTCGATGTGGATCAGATGGTGTCCAGCTTTTTAATCAAATCCATGATGGAGTAACAAATGGTTTTGATTCTCAGCTTCAAACAGATCCCAGTGATTCAGAGGTGCAAGAAATCCTTGGCAACAGTACGACAACTGTACAAGTTCTTGTGGAAATGAACCGAGAAGAAGAGGATGGCACAGAAACAGGTTGGGGACTGATCAAGCAGAGTTGATTTTTTTTTGCATGTCTCTTGCTCCCCCCTATAGTGAGGATTCTCAGTATCCTAGAATCTTTAGCAAATCTTGTTTGCAGTTTCGAGATTCTCTTGAAGATGAAATGGGTAGAAATATTTTGCATTGTAGTAGTTTTTGGGTCTCTTTTCAGAAGCCAAGGGCAGTGCATATAAACTATGCACTTGATTTTATACTTTTTGTTTTTGTTATTTTTGCAGTTGAGAAAATGTTAATTTTTTATTGTTTCCTTTGTTTATTTGTTTTATTGGAGATCATGTTATTTTGTTGTGATTTTCTCTTATATTACTGACCAGGTGGATACTGCAACTGTGCAGTGAAGTTATGCATGCATAGTGACTAATTTTCGGGGTATTTTCTGTACAGGGGACATGGTTTCATTGCTGCATGATGTTAGTGCATGGCCCAGTATTACACCCCCGGCATCACCCTGTAGGTTGATATCATCTTTATCTACTGTAATGTAGATAAAAATTTAAAAATGAGTTCTTTCTTTCACGTTAATGTAGATAGACAATTAGACATAGTTAATCGTCGCAAGCTTCAGGAGCTTGTAGGATCAGCAGTGATTGTTATAAGTGCAGGCTCTCATTGCACCTTTGCTACTGCTGGCTCCTTAAGATTTAGAGGAGTTGTGTATCACCTGTTCCTCAATGATCCAGAGGGCTTTAGTAGTTGTTGTTTTTTTTTCAATTATTCCTTCACACCATTCCCCCCCCCTCCTTATTCCCCTTCCACCAACTCAAATAGTGTTAGAACTGAAGATACTTTGATTTTATCAACTGAGTTGTGATAATGTTTTAAACTGGAAAATGAAGTTTCAAGGTGTTAACTCTTTACCATTCCCTCTGTCAAAGGGCTACTGCTCAAAACATCCATTTTAGAAACCCTTTACGGCAGCCAATTTGCATTATCACAACTCAGTTTATAAAACTCAGTCATCTTATTGTACCACCACTGATGGAATACCACAGTTGCTATAAGACTTGCTCCTTCTATCAACTAATGTTAGCTGGTGCCTTGAGTGGAGACTCATGGCAGTCTTATATCCGGGGGTCTGCAAGCCACTTAAGGGAAGACTCTGAATATTGCAGACACCTACCTTTTACATAAGTAAGGTAGCAGTTTAAGTGGCAAATTACATTGTTTTTACTATGTAAAGATTTAAACTTTTAAAACTTTTTCTCATTTGGTAAGTGGTTTGGTTGGTATTTATACCACCAGGCAACTGGCTCTGCCAGATTACAAGTACATGAATCTAAGGATTATAGGTACAATTATTAAGTAAGTTTTCTTTTTGAGAAATGTCCTCTAGTGATTGAAGGAATCTTTTCCTAGATTTCCTTCATCCCAACTTGAATGGAGAGCGTGACACAGGCGGCTACAGCAGTGAGGAGGACAGTCGCTACCCCCCACAGATGGCTCTCACACCCATACCATCCTCACCCGTACCCCCAGAGGATGGCAAGCACAGCAATCCAACAAGACCACCCATCTTGCCAAGATTTAGTTTTGAGGTATGACTCAATTGCCTTATTAGTCAGTTTCTCGTAATGAATTTTACATTACGACAGTCAATTTCCGTTGTAGTGAAAATTTCTGTTCGAGGTAATTGGGTATCGATGAAGTTTGAAGAAATTAAATAAAAAAGATCTTTAACGAAATTTAAATTGGGGGTCTCAGGCAATTGGGTTGTCTCGCGCAGATTTTTTTAGAGGTATGTCGATCTCTCAAAATATGTACTAAGATCCGGAATTGATGAGAATTGCTTTGTTTCAAAAACTTCAATTGGTACTCCACCTGTGGGCTGACCTGTTTTCTCTAGGACTGATGCAAAATTTCTCAGCAGTCACGAGAGGTGCGGGCCACATTTTACCTCGTATTTGACAAGGAGGGTAGCAAAGGGTTTTTACTTGACGCGTAATTAATGCCAAAATCAATATGTGATGCGTTGATTTTACAGAGAACCGAGCGTGATTCGTGAATTTATGAATCAGAGTAAGGCGTGATTTGCCTCCTGAAATATACGCGACCCGTGATTCTTTTTTCTGTTAGCTCGTGAAAACTTTAAGATTTCCCTGAAACCTCGTACACGAGGGGAGAGATTTGAAGTTTCCCTTTTAAATATGTAACGCGTGCATCAAAACGGGATCGGGGCCCCTTTTCTTTACAAAGTTTCCTCTTTAAATTTCTCGAAAGTGAACATCACGAATTCTCTTTCACAACCACTTTTTTTTTCCTCTTTTTTTAGGATCAAGCCCCCATTATAAGACCTTCAGGCGCTCCAGTTCCTGCCCTTGCACCTATCAAATCAAAGACAATGCCTGAAAGGTTACGACTGGACAACTACAAACCCACCCCGCTGAAACCAGTAGAAATGAAGCCACCCTCCCCATCCACAGAGTTACTTTTGGCACCACTGAAGATAGCTAAAGCAAAACAAAGCCCCGTACCAGTGAATGCAAAAACGCAGCATTCGAGTCCTACTACAGGTAGTCCGAGAGAAGCGGGGACTCCAGATAATAATGACATATACTGGGCGCGTAAAGGAAAAGTGAAGGCTGACACGCTCACACTTAACACTGTCAGGTTTGTTTCCAGCTAAGTTCTGGAGAATGATTTGAAAATCTCTAGTTACGTTTTTCCTCGTTCCGCTCCAGATATTATAACTACGCAATTGGCTCCAGTTGCATTTGTTGGCACACCAGTAGGTCCATTTTTCCTGCGCTTAGCACCAATTACATTTGTTCGCGCCTTCGGCACCGATTGAACTTTTTGCATTTTTCTCGCGTATGAAGCTAGTCGCAATTTTTTTTCCTCGTAGTTAGCATAATTTACCTTTTTTCCTTGTTTGACACTAGTTTTTTTCTTTCTTTGCATTAGGCAACAGTTGTTTTGTCAAGAAAAAGATCTATTTAATTGTCTCACTTTGTAGTCGTCTTTTTTCATTTCTCAGTGATAATTTGGAGTCAGATTTATACCGTAAGGTGAAAGACAAGCGTCCTTCCGCAGCTAGTGCTGCTGGCCAGATCCTGCCTGCAATCTCAGACAAATCGAGTCACGTGACCCAAGTTCAAGGATCCAGGCAGGATCAGTTAGGTTGGTATTTTTTTTTTTTTTTTTTTGGGGGGGGGGGGGGGCATCAAAAATAACCCCACGGGTTTGTTGGGGCATCGGAAATTGATTAATTAGTGTCTTTGACTCAGATTTTATTGTTTATACTCGTGAGTCGATGACTCTTTTGCTATCCAGGTATTAGCCGACAAATTTCATCACAAATTTTGAGTTTTGCTTGCTTAGAACTCTCATAAATTGTAAGTGATGTGTTAATTGCGGTTTATAAAGCGGATCGTTTATTTTTCAGAGGCAAAAAAGAAACACAGGAGAAGAACTTCGAAAAACCGTAGTATTCCAGAAGATTTAGGTAAGCTCTACCGTAGCTTTGCAGCTAAGACAGCTGCCTCGCTAACGAGTACACCTCACAGTTGTCTTTTAATTAGAATAATTTTTCCGTGTCTTTCTAGATGTAACGGACGGGTTTGTCGAAGAGACCGTTGAAGAAGACGCCAAGTCAAACAGAAGTGTAGGAAATTTGAAAGAAAAACCGAAGAAAAAGAAGAAAGTACGGAAAGTTATGAGCTGGAACTTTTGATGAGAATAATTGTAGAGATGTCTTAAAAATGCCCAAAGACACTTAGTGGCACACGGCCTCAGGTACATCTACTTGTAGAGCTCAGAGACACGGCGGATATATGTCCCTGTGGGGGGGGGGGGGCTTCAAACAGATGGAGCTTAGCCTCACGAAAACGAGGCGAACATGCTAGGGCCCCTAACACATTTTCAGAGCCCCCACTCCCTTACCCCATACTTCTCTTTGTTCCGACTCGAAGAACGAGGAGTAGAATGAGAGGGATTACCATGAGCGAAAGGATTAAACTCCTTTTCACGTGGAAAGTGTATTACATGATCATCGATTTTGTCAGCCTTGGTATGAGATGCCGTAAATGATTAGGGGCTGCTCATGACCTTTCCTATTTTTGCGCTTGTTTGATAACATAGAGCATTCATATTCTGCGCAGACTACGTGCCTTTAGAAGGTAAAAATACAAGAAAGACTTTACTATTAGAGATCGCTCCTAGGTTATCGCCAGGGAAGGGGAGAGGGGGGTTAAGCTGAACGGCATGTTCTTTTGACGACTGTACAACTGCTGAGCTTCTTAAATGAAATTTTAGCTTTAAGGGGGGGGGGGGGGTGGGTCCTTCTCAACTACATGGCCAGTTGCTATTGAAAAAATTTACGGCCATATCTTCCGTTCCAGAACGACATGCTTTTCTGCATAAAATGTAAATAATCTCCTTTAAAAATTATTTTAATTACCCTTTGAGACACGAAAACTTTTCACACTTGCCGCCAATTTTTGTGGTCGGTCGCGGGCTGGGACTTCTCACGCGAGAGTACCACTGACAATTCTTTGGCTTAATTTGTTCTTAGCAACAGCACTTGTATTTACGAAGGACCCCTCTCAAATAAATATCTTCTGCATTCTACCAATACATTAGGATTGACTGAACCTTTCAGTGATCCGTGGCCTGCATATTCAGGCTCCTGAATTAGGCAAGAGGGGAGAGGAGAGAGGTTGAATGGGATAAAAGTGTTGACTGTCATTGGCGACTGCTCCTCTCTCCGACCTTATCTTATCAACAAATCTTACACTCCCACCCCCTCCCCCACCGGCGATAAATTATAGCTTCTTTCTTCAGGGAAGTCATTTTATTTGTGATGTACCTCTATGCTGTCTCACATACAACTAATTACAAAGAGCCTTCTATCAATGGACAACAAAAAAATAATAATCCTCGCGATAAACTATTTTCGACGTAAATAGCAAACCATTTCTTGTGATTTAAATTTCCTATGGAGCTCTTAAGAAGTAAACGAGGGGTGCGCATAGTCTCGTTTTTAAACCTTTCACGGCCAAGCCGTTCCAGTTACATGGTAGGATCTAGGGTGTGCGTCCCATAACTAGGTTTTACCAACCGCACACAGAAGTTCATTAGAACCATTGCAGTCCAATGAAAATGATCATAACTGTTGTATAAATTTATACTATTTGTCAGATGTTGAAATCATTTCATATTTTATGAAAGAATGAATGCTTAACGACCAAACAAACCATACGTTTTAAATACTAATCATGAACGATTTCAATTTGTATAGGGTTGAGCGAAGTATTTATTATGAATCGATGTAGATATATTTTAAGACAACGGATAAGTCGAAAAAAATCCTTAAAAAATTGCAATCTCGTCCCCATGGCCTTTTCCCTTACTTGGGGGTGGGGTGGGCTACCCCCAAGTAAGGGAAAAGACCATGGGAACGAGGCTGAAGAAAATTGGTCAAGGTAATTGTCGGGATCAATGTTAATATCTGAGAAAATGCGCTTCCACAATTCCCCTAACGCAGCTTTAGGGGAAGGGGTAGGTGTGCATTTCCTTTGACATTGATGCAAATGTCGCCTGTGTCAGGAGATGGGCTCCTGTCTTTGTCTTGCTCCTCCGAAAACATAAATGTACGTGGAATGTTTTGGACGAAATATGTTTCCTTATGATAACTGTGCTTTTCGTTTCATTTTGAAAAATTTAACCGTCCTCGTTAACGAGCTGTTACCACGGCTCTTTTTATGATGTGTTTTTATTATGTGTGAGAGAAAGATTAATGACTTTGGTAACAAGGCTATTATCGATATATTCGGTAACTGAGCTAATGGCTTCAAATTTATTTAATAATTTAATTGAATTCTATAATACAGATATAAAATATTTATTATGAAAGCAATAGACGATTTTATTAATTTATCAGACATTTATAACAATTGATTAATTTATTTTTAGAGATATATTATGATGTACAAATGAAATCAGAAGTACATATATAAGTATACTTCATGTACGTGACCAACTAATTTGCTAGTCAGCTGTTAACAAATATCGTCAAGAAACATTCCAAAATCTGTGACGCCTGTGTAGGTTTATTATTCTTTTCGCAGAACCGTTTGGGCTGGTCTCTTACCCTTTTTAGTGCTTCGGCGCAGTCGTTTTCTCGCCTGCGGGAAATTCTAAGGCCTTTGGCAAAGCGAGTCGGCGACAGGTTTGCAAGCGGTCTAGCACTGAAAATATTAGGGCCAGATCCTCGGCAAACTTATCGGCGACTCGTCTCAAATCTTCTTTCCCTGGGCGGAAAACGTGCCTCCGGCAGCACTATTAATTAGGGCCTACTTGCACGCTAGGTCACGGTAGTTAGTCTCCTTCACAGTTGTTGCTCGTCGAGCCATACATGTATGTTCCAAAAAAAAAAGAGATCAACCCTTTATTTTTTGAGAGTAAGTGGGGAGATTGGAATATTTTCAAGACGACCACACTTTTCTACGTCTTCGTCTGTGCCATATTTTTTTTCCATTTGCTTCTTTCTGCTGATCAGATCCACCAAAAATCTTTTTCTTTCCTCTTTTTTTAAAATCTTTTAAGCGAGCAATCTCTCCTCGTCCCCTTCCTTCCCCGAAAAAGTAGTTAATCCAATGACTTAGGGTACCTCTCACTGCCATTACCCCCATGCAATCTCTTTTCTTTACAGGAACCTTTAGGGCCGAGGGTGCACACGCATGACGCCACACGAGGCGTAAACAAAATGCTCGAAAGAATAAACCGCTGAACTTTCCAAAATGACGTCGCTTTCTTTCGGAGAATCACACACACAGCAAACGGCACTGCTCTTTACAGTCCAATAGGGCTGTATTTTTTACCGTCCTCCAAAAAGGTGCATATTCAATGATAGTTCAGCGTCGTAACTCTTTCTAACGGCTTTTTCAAGCTCTGCAATAACTATTGGAGTCTGGTTTAAGTTCAGTGTGACAGCTGAGTTTAGACTTACCATATCGTCGTTATTTAGCTTTATTGTCTAAATGTCTGTTTATGATTAAACTTTAAGGTGAGACTAACAATCAGTTCTCATTTTACATCTAATATCCTCGTTAATCATGTCTCTGGACAAGACCCCATTACTCTTGCTCTCGACGAGGTGAAATAACGTTTTACTATGAAAAAAGAAGGCAATTTCACATTAATCACTTCACTGGTAACGAAAAGGATGATTCACCTCCCTTAGGTCTCAGTGGGTGAACTTTTTCTGCACGAGCTCGCACGTGCAGTGGGTCGGGAATTTTCATCTTCCCTTCTGACTGAAGCGGGAGCGATGCCGTTACTAAGCCATTTTAAGTCACGTGATCAGACCAACGATCTCACGCGACCTCACGCGATCTTGTTTTATCAGATGTTCGTTCCCAGTCGCTCCCTGTGGTTATTAAAAAAAGCACTGCGCGTCTACTGCGCATAAATTTCCTATTATTACTGCTGGTTGTTACGCGAGTGCATGGTAGAAATTCAAAGAACATGGCTCTTGAAGAAGTTAACTCCAACACGGAATTTGATAAAATCTTGGGTAATTCTTCCAGGTGAGTTAATGTCCTATGTTTCAACCTGCCTATAATTTTTTCTCTGCTGATAGCAAAACCAATGTTTGTTACGAAATCGCGGGAACATAAATTATGTGCTGTCCTAATACGAAAAGGAATCGAGATCGCCGCAAGCTTAGGTGATACAGAAAATGCTCGGTTTAATTTTGGCTTTCTCGACACGATCAACTCCATTTGTACAAGGTAAGTTCAGATGACACTTTACTTATAAAATTAAAGATAAGCTTTGCATAGAAACTTCCAGCTTCGAACTTGACAACCAAAAATGTCAAATTGAATGCAATTAACTTAAGTTACATTTATTTTCATTACGAGATTTTTTTGGCGAGAAACGCTACCAAGGCTTGGTGTTTTTAGTTTGTAAAGTCCGTTTCTTTCTATTGTTTAATATTTCAATTGTGACTTAAATTTCAAATTGAAACTTTATTGATTTTTTGAGGCTCACCAAAAATTCGGCCGATCACCCTTAATATTTAATCCTGTATGAAAGATGATGGAGCATAATTTGACTGTCATTTCAGTGTATGTTCACTAGAATTTTAGAGTGAACTCAAATTATTATAGATTAATTTGAAGTCTCCGTTTTTAAATAGAAAATGTCAAATACATAGTTCGCGTGTGTGTTGTAGCATAATGTCCATGTTGTAAAGCTGTTAGCTTTAAATGCTTAGTTTTATGTTTTTCTTGTTTTATTTTTACAGGAAAAGAAAATAAACATAACATTTGTTACTGTTAGGGTGGTGCTTCGTAAATTATGCATGCTTGAAAACATGTACACCAGGCATATTTTGCGTGGAAGGAGTTTGGAATATTTTTCTTTAGGGTCCCTGTTGAAATGTTGATAACCTCCAATTTATTTTGCTGTCTTTGTTTATTTTTTTACTGTTTTTTTTCCAATTGGCAATAAGATGACCTAAGGAAAGAGAGTATTTTTTAAAGACTAGCAATGTGCTTTGTCCTGTGATACATGAAAAAAATGTGTCACTGTTGTAGGTGCTGGTGTCTTGGTAGTATTAAACAAAATCCCCTGTCTTCTTTTTTTAATCAATTTTAGTGCCCTTACTGTGGTACATTTCCATGCTCCATGGGCTCTTCAATGTAAACAGATGAATGAAGTGATGACAGAGTTGGCAAAGGAGAACTCACATGTCAAATTTGTGAAGGTCAGTCCCATTGTTGGAAAGTCCTAGGGGACAATTCATTATTAATCACAGGGTGTGGAGGATTTTGTTTGTGTCTCCATGATATGAACTTGATCCTCTTATAAGGCTCTGTAATATTCTCAGGAACCCCTCCCTCCCCTCCCCCATTGCATTCAACTGGCAGTAATTTTTTTCATTGTCCCCCTTTACACTCTGTTGGTAATAACTGATCACCTCTCTGTTCCTCCTGAAAACCATGTGATCATCTCCCAGGATCCTTTGCAACCTCCTCCTTGGCAATAAATAGTCTCTAAGTGAGATGTACTGACATCAACTTTACATTGATAAACTCCTGCAAACACAGCACAACAATTTCAATAATCAATACATTATTTTGCCAGACCAACTTCTGTCCCACATATTTTTTGTTTGTAGCTTGAGGCTGAGAATCTACCAGAAATATCTCTTAAATATGAAATAAGTGCAGTTCCAACATTTCTCCTTTTCAAGGTGGGTAAATTCTCTACACCCTAATTTTAGTATGCATATTCTCCATACTGTTCTCTTTACATTTCCTAATTTTATGACAAGGAGAATTTGTTTAACAATCAAGAGCTTCTTTAGTTGGTAATCATTTCCTTTATTCTTGTGTAATGTGTGATTTGGGGAAGGAGGGGGTGGGCTGGGCTGGGAGATATTGTAAAGAGAGATAATATGCCAGTCAATCAGCAGAGGGTCAAGGACAACAGGATAGGATTGGATAAGATTTGCGTTTCCCATTGTGGGAGTCCTTACCACCCAGGTTAATCTGATTGACCCTTTCTCTGTTAGTAGTGATAAAAAATAATTTCCTCCTTACAGTATCAATACCTTTCTACGCAGAGAGGAAATAAAAATTTTGACTTGGTGTTATTTTTCTATTTGACACTAAATACTTGGTGTGAAAATTAAAAGAAATGTATGGCTGTCAGTGTAAAAAATTCATATTTCGATCTTGGAAGTGGAAGGGTCAGCTATTATTTTGATGAGGATTATCCTGAGAAATGTTGATGAGCATGAAGATAATCACTTAGATAATGACATCCATAATGGTGATGATGATAACTATGGCAATAACAATACATCTGGAGGTGTTCATAGGGCATGTGTTGGTCATTATCTATGGTCACTCTGGTTTTACATGGAAGTAATAAATTTATTGCTGATTCTTCAAAATACAGAAGTAAGACAGAAAAAGGCAACAGTGCAACATGTTATGTAAGGTCATTCATCCAAGTGTTCACCCTTCATTGTTAATACTTCAAGCTTAACTTCAGTGAGAAGTACGAGGATGTGGCTAACTACCACTATGATGCTCAAAGTGGATACTAAGTGTGGTTTGCCACTGGCATCCCACAAAAATAATGGCACTAATTTTGATTACTGTGGATGACATTATTAGTAAACTTGTTGGACATGACTTTTAACTTGTTTATGTTTAGAACCAAAAGGTTGTGGATCGGTTGGATGGAGCAAATGCTCCAGCCTTGACCAAGAAAGTTCAACATCATGCAAGTATTATCACCACGACTGTTACTGCAGAAAAAGAACAGGACACAAAACAGGTTTGTTCCAGAGATTTTCTACAGGTTTTGTTCTACTCTTACATGTACATGTACTTTTACAGGTCAGGGAAAATTCAGGGAAAAAATATTTCTGCAAGGTTAGGGGAAGTCAGGGAAATTTTACCTCTTTGAGAGAAGTCAGGGAAGAGTGAAATCTTGTTTTAATCTTGTGGAGGCCCTTTTTGTGATGAGAAATGCTGACCCTTTTTGGCAGTTAATAGATACCCACAAGCATTATTATTTCCCTTGTGTGATTCAAGTTACTTTGTGAATTAAACTTCTCCCATTCTCATGGTTTTGAATGTTTCATATTCTGTGTTACATTTTATGGACATAAAATGTGTTGGATTGGTAGAATACTGTTTCATGAAATTGAAGAACAAGATGATATATTTGGTTTTCAAGAAAATCAACTACTTTTCTATGTTGCATTTAAGAAACTGTCAATTCATAAGCTCTGCATGTGACTTGAATAAAACATAACTTAAAGGATGGAAGGGAGGTATGAGGCCATTGTCAGGACTTATAATCGATATTGTTTATTCAGTTGGTCAGGGAATTTCGGGGAAGAGTCTGAGAAAAGTCTGGCAGAAGTCAGGGATTTTAAAAAGATCTATGAATGTGGGAACCATGTGTCATTAAGAGATAGTAGCTGGTCAAAACAGCTGGCAAGTCTGCCATCTTGAGCTATCTACTTTCATATCATTTTATTGTGGTTGCTGATGAGAAATGGTACATTAATGCGTCACTACTATTAACTATAGTTTTGTTTGTTTCTCAGGATTTAAATACCAGGTTGAAGAACATCATAAATGGAGCACCAAATGTCCTCTTCATGAAAGGATCACCTCAGGAGCCTCGCTGTGGTCTGTATCTAGCTTTTTTGTACTGATATTTAGGGAATTCACTTGTTTTTTTTTTTTACTCTCTACATACTAATATCAGTATCTACATTCTCCATACTCTTCTTTGTGTATTTCCTTTAGTACTGACAAGGAGAATTTGTTTAACAATCAAAGCTTTTCAGGTTGTGGATCATTTCCTTTATTCTCATGATTGTAATGAATGATTCAGCAGTATTACTGTGAGGAGAAATTACATGCTCATAGCTCTCAGGGTTTAATTAAAGTGTTAAAGGTTTTTTTAAGTGTTTGCCTTGAGGAGGTCATTGGGAAGTGCAGATTGTTGTCAAATGGCTTTAAATATCTATAAGATGGTATTGTGTCATGTCAGTACAGCAAATTGATTCTTTGTTTTGATTGTAGGATTTAGTCGGCAAATAGTAGAATTGTTAAATTCACATGGAGCAGATTACAGTCACTTTGATATCCTTACAGACAATGAAGTCAGACAAGGTTTGTAAGTTGGTCACAGTTTTTCCCCATCTTTCATTCATTTTGAGTGACAGTAGGAACATAAATTGCTGTGAGTTGGGTCTTGTATCATTTTTATCTCAGTTAAGCATGAGGTATCTATCTGAGGTTGTTTTATTTTATAATAGGTTTAAAGGTGTACTCAAATTGGCCCACATACCCACAGTTATATGTTGATGGGGAACTTGTTGGAGGCCTGGACATAGTGAAGGTTTGGAAATGCTTCCTTGTATTTTTAAGACCATTAATCCAAGATCTGATTGTTAGTTATTCCCTGTAGCTATCACACAGTTCCTTGTAAGTTATGGTTTTGAATCAAGATATCTGCCACCTGATAAGTTTGAGTATTCTCACTAGCTGTTTTCTAGAAAATGCATGGTTATTATTGGGAGAAGTTACATTTTAATCGCTTTAGGGAATTAAAGGTTTAGGAAATGGGCAACCAACTTTATGAAGGATATATTTAGACAGTGTTTTCTATGTTTATTTGGACAGTTTAACCCTACCATTACACCCTAACATCAGTATCTATATTCTCAATACTCTTCTCTTTACATTTCCTTTGGTACTGACAAGGAGAATTCATTTAACAATCAAAGCTTCTGTGGTTGACGATCATTTCCTCTCTGCTCATTATCTTAATGAAGGATTCAGTAGTTTTAGTGTAAGGCAAAGTTAGAAGCTTGTCACTCCTAAGGCCTGGTCATTTACATGAGGTCTAACCAAACTGTAGTTTAATGCAAGTTGTGTACCTCAGGGATTCTCTGTAAGAGGGCTGACTGATTTGATTGAATAAATATCCATTCATTATTAGCATTCAGCTGTCTTGACACTGTTCTCAAAAATAAATCTTCAGATAGAACTTTTGGATAAATTGAAGATGGCTAAGAACATGGTTTTCTTAAACAACCACTAAACATTGTTTAAATAATTGACACTTACAGTTTAAGGACTTTTGTATACACCAAATTTAAATGTTCATGGCTGTTGCAGCAGGCCCAGTTTGAGGAATTTGGATGTATGTAATTTTTGGGTAAGGAAGTAAACTGAAGCTTTAAATGACATTTCTGAAAATCTTTTACCTTCAGAAGGGTTCTTTGGGCCAAATAGATGGAAATTCAGTTTTTTAACTTTGTCAGTTGCACTTACTATTTCCAGATAAACACTCATAACCCTTTAACTCCCATGAGTGACCAAGACAGAATTTCTCCTTACAGTATCAATACAATATCACCCAGATAAGTGATGAGAATAAAGAAAAATATCAATATGGGGATAATTAGTTGATTCAATACTAAATTCTCTGATCTAACATTGTAAGAATTGTATGATTGACAGTAAGGAGAATTACAAATTTGATCTGGGAGTTAAAGGGTTAATATAAAGGAAAATGCTATCAGCATGATCTTTGTGTTACTAAGACCTTTTCCATGTATTTTCATTGCAGGAACTTGCAGCAAGTGGGGAATTAACATCGACATTGTCAACAAAAGAAGATCTTAACAAAAGGTAAATACCAGCCTCAAAACAAAAAAAAAGAAAAAGGGAACGGTTTAGTCTAAAAGTTTTCTGACCCAAAACAAACAAACAAACAAACAAAACCATTCACTCTGATGAAGGGCTGATCCTGGAAACATTAGCTTTAGAAACTCTTTGTGGTGGCTGACTCACCCACACAGCACCACAGTTAGAAACTTAGCCTTATTAAAACATGGTTCAGTCCAATAAGCCTGCCCTTCCATCTCTTGCTTTATGCATATATTCTGCATGTGTCACACTACTGTTAACTTTATTTTCAAGGTTACAGTCTCTTATCTCAGCTGCCCCTGTGATGGTTTTCATGAAAGGAAATCCTGAGGTGGGTTTAGATTTCATTAATTCATGATGAATTTTAGCTGCATATGGCAAAGATGGCTATGTAGTGTGGTGTCCTCCATGAGCCCAGGGGACTTGGGTTTTCACCACCTTCTTGTTTCTGAGGTGCTGAGTACTTTAATTATACAAAGAAGTGAAATCTTATGCCAGTTAGTCTTTTACATTTACCTGAACCTTTTGCTGGCATTTTTCTTTTTTTTTTTTTTTTTTTTTTTTTAAACATGTACCTCTCTTGATCTGTAGAATGATACAATGTTAACCTTTTGCTGACAGGTTTTTTTTTTAATTTTTCTTTCACTTTTACTGCTTACAATTAAGAAATCTTCAAAGGAAAGCTAGAGAAACTGACAAGTCTGTTTAGTGAAATTTGTGATTATAGTCATGGTAACTTAAATTAAGTAATTTTTTTCATAGGGTCCAAGGTGTGGTTTCAGCAGGAAATTGTGTGAAATCTTGAAAAAGTATCCTAGGTGAGTTGAGTTATTCTAGCAGGGTTTGGAATTTTTAGGTTTTTGTTCAGGTCTTTCTAATTAAGGCTTTCAGAAACTAAACATGTGAGAACTGAAAAAGGTTTAGAGACTCAAGGCTTGTTGGATTGGTTGTAAAAATCTTGCAACATTTTAGGGTTTTTAAGCATAATCTGTGTAATAATCCCATGAAGAATAATTTGAGTGTTTTTTTTTCCATTTTTTCAGTGTCCCATTCAAGACTTTTGATATATTGGAAGATCAAGAGGTAAAATTTTATTTGCCTAGTAGACAACGACAACAACAACAACAACAACAATAACAGGAGAAGCAAACTAAGAATAACTCTCTTTTACATCTCAGGTTCGCCAGGGTCTCAAGACATATTCTAACTGGCCAACTTATCCACAGATTTATGTGAAGGGAGAACTAATTGGCGGAATAGACATCATCATGGTATGTGTGGCATCCATCATGTCATGAACTATTCCCCCACACACTGTGGAAGGGGCACATCAATTATCCCTACCCCACCCTTGTAGTTCACTGCAAAAGGGGTGAGGGCTAAGGGCTGAAAGCAACTTTTCTTGTTAGATTCTAGCTTCAATTGAAACTTCCGAGTAATTTTAGACTGCGTTTGTAACTCTGGGACCCTTTTGTCTTCAGTCCAGCACTCTCCTACAGTCCCATCAATAATGTGCATCTCCTGTGTTCCTTCACAGTTGTTATTTGGTCTCTTATGCAGCAAGACACTTTAAAAAAAAAACAGCCGCAGAAAGTCTTGTAGTCCATACTCTCCCTGAAAATTCTCCGGATAGTTTGTAAATGAACTTCAAATCATTTGTTCCTACAGGAGCTTGATAAGGATGGGGAGTTGGAAAGTACCTTGACTGGTTAATTTCAGAAAAATTAAGAAAAAATCCAGAAGTACCATCATAGTTTTAAGGATGAAAGACTATCAGTGACATTATTTTTCAAAGTTGACCTGTTAGATGATCAATATCAAGAAATTGATAAGTTACAACAGTGCAATGACAAAAATCTGTGAAAAAATTTAAATGCTTTTCTTGACATTGAAACAAAGCTATTGTTGTTTTAGACTGGCACAAGAAAATGTCACTTATCTCCAATAAAAACATGTTACAGATCACAATTAATGATTTTCTGTGTTGCACAAAGTTACCATGCAAATGATCAAAATCTAATGAATGTAAAGATACAGTTTATACCTTTGTTTGTTTTTTTTATTATTGTTGTTTTATTAACATTGTATGGGTAAATGTATTTTTCATAAGTATTTACAAGTTGCCTATGAACTGCTTAAGGTTTGGTTAAAAATAACTACACTTTTTAAAAGTTTTTTCCCTCAAGGGGAGCAAACCTTTTGCCTTTAATTTTTTTGTTAACCACAAATCAACTGGTTTGAATTTGCAAGCACCTAGGCATTACAAAATGATTCTACTTCCAAGCTTTTATTTAGGAAAACAACAACATTAAGACTGTCTGAGTGGAGCTTGAGCTTTTAATAGTTGCAACATAATTTGGTTTTATCAAGTAAGTTGATGATGTAAATTAGCGCAACTTCTCTAAGGCTGACATTTTTCACCCTTTGTCAAGGCAAATGATGAAGGGCTAACACTCAACGCATCCGCCTTAGGAACTCTCTACAGAGGTTAATTTACATTTACCTACTCAGTTGATAAAACCCAATTATCTTGTAGTACCCCCATGCAGCACCAGAGTTTCTTTGGCAACTTACCACCTTACAACAATGTGACACTTCTCCTAATCTCTCAAACCTAGAGTCTTAATTCCTTACTAACAAAGCAACTTTGAAGACACTGTGGAACTTTTAGTTTTAGAAAATAGAAAGGGGAACCTTTTCTTCAGTTTCAATCCTCTTCAGAGGCAAATGTTTGAGGTGATATCAAAATACCACAGGTGACCCATTAAAGCATTAAAAGTAACAGAGATTATGTACAGGGGCAGGAGGCCATGGAAAGGAGCCTCTATCTCCCCAAGGAAGTCTTAATCCATTAACCCCTAAGAGTAATTAGCACCTAATTTTTCCTTACAATATCATCCCCAAATCACACATCTAGGTTAGGAGAATAGAGGAAATGATCACCAACTAAAGAAGCTCTTGATTGTTTAAAAAGTTCTCCCTGTCAGTATCTCAGGAAATATATAGAGAACAGTTTAGAGAATATGCATACTGATGATAGGGTGTAAAGGGTTAATCAAAACAGAGCTTTCACCATACAAATTTTTTACATCAAACTCCACCAAACATGTATTTGTGAGGAAAACCAGTTTTTGTGGTTCATGGTTGACTCGACCAAAGGGTGATACTTTCTACAGCAAAAAGTTGTTCTAAAAATAAATCTACTCAGGAAAGGGTTGACTCGAGGAATCAGTGCAGATAGAGGCTGCTGCTGATGGGCTCCTGTCAGAAGAAACATAGCATGCCATGTGAGAGGGAAAACGCTGATCAGTGCTGGCCAGAATTCTGTTGTCTTTCTCTTTGGTTCACCAGTATAGCTAGTGCTGCTACTACCAAAAACTCAGTCAAAATACTCTAAGTAGGTAGCAGTTCCATGGTTAAGTGAACTGAGTCAGGAAAAAGCTAACTAGAGTGTATCTCTTTCTTCTGTGAGTGTAAAATAATACACAGGGAACAAAGGCAATGTCTATCCTGATAAGTCTCCTGCACCAAATTTCAGTTCATCATATCCTTCAGCTTTGATAACCCTGCCCCCAAACCATCTTCCATTAAGAGCATTAGCAGCTTTTTCGGTTTCTATGAAGAAAAAGGTAAGTATTGATTCAGCTTTCACTTGAATTTTGATTAAAAGCATGGTCACAGCTTTGCAAACATGCATACCAAAGACTGGTACAGTTCTGAATGGCCAACATTTTACTTTGCACTAGATGTACTGATTTGAACAATCGGAGAGAAAACAGGCACTCAAGATGTTATTTGGGACAGCGAAGACTATTGTTGGTTTGCCATTAAACATATGTATGATTGTAGAAACTGTTAATACAATGATAATCACACTATTTGCAACACCTTTAATCCATATCACCACAAAGGCAGTACAAGTAATAATTAAGGATAACAGTATTTCTAGTCACCTGAAGGTTGAGTGAACTCCACAAATATCTTAACTATGACTTCAGCATCCTCCTCCTCTCCTTGTCTCTCGTTATAAATCACCACCCTACTGACCACTCCAAACTTGCTGCACTCGTCTGTCACCTCGTGCTCCAGTTCTTCATCCAAATCTTCCACTCCTACCATGTTTCGCAGCACCAGAACTTTAGACTGAAATAAGGAGATGGCTCATTTAAAAAAAAAAAACCAAATTTACTCGCTTACTTCACATAACTTGCACAAGCAATCAGCCTGTGCTAGGCTCTCAGTGAAAGGAAATGGGCAAAAAGAGAGGTGCATAAAATCAATAGAAGGTTAAGGCAAAGGAAAAAATAAGAATTAAGAGTCTGTACAAACTGGTGACCTGACAATTGCAATCACCTTCTGTCACATGCCAGCATTTTTCTTGTTGCCACTGACTGAATGCCTATAATAGGCAACATTATTTAAATATTTGTTCCCAAGAAAATCTGCATAGAAAGCTGTTTGGCACTCACATCTAGGATCATTTCCTCATATAGCACTCACCTCACTTTTGCGAGACAGTTTCTGCATGACCATATACCTGGCATTACTACCAGATATTGACATGTTCTCCTCGTGACTTATGCTACTCTCTGCCACTTTTCTCTGCGTCTCCTCTTCAATCTTGGCACGCACCTCAGCCTGTTGTGCTGCAATAACCTGGGCCGATTGCTGCTGCAGCTGCTGTTGTTGCAACTGCTGTTGCTGTACAAGTTGTTGTTGCTGTTCAAGAAGTTGTTGCTGTTGAATTTGTAGCTGTTGAACAGCTGCTGACTGGACTGGTAGGCCTGTGGTGGTTACCACAGGTGTTGCAGGCACTGGTGTTACAACTGCTGTTGGGGGACCTAAGAATAAAACAGTAAACTACTGATTTATAATCAAATCAAATGAGTGACTAACTTGACTAGGAATAGCACACATGCATGCATTGGTCACTCAATTCTAGCATCTTAAATCACGATATCTTTAAAATGCAACTACAGTAACCTGCAGAGTGGGTTACTTTTTCTACTAGAGCACTTTTTTTGTATATTGGCAAAACAGTACATGTAGCTTAAAAGGAATGGATTAGGTAAATGGGGGAAGGGGTGAGGGAAAGGGAAAGACATTACCTGCTAGCAGCGCTGTAGATGCTGTCATAATTGGCTGTGCTGCAATACTTGTTGACATCACTCCTGGTGCAAGAGTTCCAGGGGCAAGGGTTCCAGCTGCCATGGTTGGCAGAGCAACCAGGCCTGCTGTACCCACTATGGAAGTGATCACTGTACTCCCAGCAATTGTAATGGCTGGGACTAGGAACAAAGAACAAAATATATGAAATAAATAAAAAAATGAGCCTAATTTTTTGTTTGTTTGTTTGTTCATATATGAGGATTTTGGATCTTGGAACTGAACATTTTAGATCTGAAAATTTTACAGTTACACAGTTTTTTCCCAATTCCTGATATTTTTAAGCAATCTTGTTTGGGATTTTTGTGCTAGTCTCTTACATAACAAAGTATTTTACACCTCTTTACAGATGACTGTCCAGTAAACCTTTCCCATTATATCGGTAACATAGAAACCTTATCTTAGACTTTGGGTGTCTTTTATAAAAATTCCAAAAGGGTCCCACATGCTTGTAAGGAATTTGACTTTGTCATATAGTTTGTCCACCAAACTCAATTGTTGTTTGTTTTCAATTTTGTTTCAAGACTATAATAGGAGAAAATTCTGCTGGATTATCAACACCTGAAAATCCTGCTGCCCTAAATCTGGTTTCATCCATGAATTCATAAAACTCTCTTTGGTTTACATCTGGTCTCAAAAATGTTACCACTTGCAGAAGCCAAGTTTAAATCTAACTTGCACAAACTTATTCATCCTTACATGTGCTTGTCAGCCCCTGCTCCTGTGCTTGTATCTTTGCTGACACCGCAGCAGCAGCTAATGCAGCTGCAGGTGGCAATGTACCATTACTAGTCTGTGCCGATGCTGGAGGTGTGATGGCTCGACCTACTCTCAAGTACTGTCCTCCAAGATCAAACAAGTTCATGGAGGCTATGGCATCTGTGGCTGACTGTTGGTTTTCATATTCTAAGAAGCCGTAGCCCTTGTGCTTTCCTGGCATGGTGTCTGGAGCAAGAGCACAGCTGCGCACTTTACCAAATGCTTCAAATACACTAATATGCAAAGAAACAGGCAAACAATAAATTTATGCCCAAGAAAAACAGAAAACGAGCCAACACCTACACAAGCAAAATTACTTTTCCAAAAAAATGGCTACAATCACTCATGGAAAATATTAAAAAAAAACTGAACTGTATGAGAAGGTCAATTTAACAGAAGAATCAAACAAGCTTGTGTCACCTTCAAAATTGAACTACAGTAAAGAGTATGCCACAATCTAATACTTTGAATGCAATCACCTCTTTATGTCATCCTCAGCCAAATCTGCATGAACAGAGGCCACATAGATTCTAGCATACTTCTTAGCTTCCTGCTCAAACTGCTCAATCAGTGGTGCTGCTTGTGGTACATTGCTTGGACGACCCACCTGATGAAGAGACAAAAAACGTTAACATTACTTGCAAATTATGCAAAAGACTCTTGACGCAAACCTCTACTTTTCTACCTCGGAAATTATTGAGCAACAAACTATTTTCAATCAAAAAGACCCACAGAAGTATGAATGAATGAATGAATGAATGTGTATTTATATACCGCACATATCACATACTGTCTCAAGGCGGTTTACAATTCTAATTGAGTGAGATCGAACGTCAGCTTGTAAAGGCGCCTCTGGCTGCCGCTATCAGTCCATATTTGATCTCACTCACCCACCCAGCCCATGCATGAAATGTACAATGAAACAATAGATAGACCACCACACCGGGAACTACGCCCCCTACTCTTTTCGACAAGTGTGTGGGTTTTTTAACGTCCCCTGCTGACCATGTAACACTGAAGATGCAGGAGACGGGGCCTACGGTTTATAGTCCTTATCCGAGAAGACTTGAATGTCTAACCATTTGCTGGTACAATTACAAAGGCAGCACATTCTCCTCAGTTATTTTAAGACCCTGAGTGTTGGTCCGGTCTGGGGCTCGAACCCTCGACCTCCCGCACAGCAGACTGGCGCTCTACCAACTGAGCTAACCAGGCGACGGTTGGTGCTGTAGTATGGAAAATCACTGTCTGCAAAAGGGCATAAGGTGTAAATACTGACCTTTATGTTTCTCCCTCCAAGCAGAACACCATTCATCTGTTCCAAAGCAAGCTGGGCTGCCTCTGGTAAGTCATACTCCACAAATGCAAAGCCCTAAATAGAATATATATCCATGTAACTTGAAGAACACAGGGTTTTCATTTACAAGTACAGCATGTACCAGAAGAACAGTATAATAAAAGGATAATTTACTATAGAGCAGTCCCAGCTTGTTAATTGAACATACCTTATGTTTCATGGTCAAAGGATCCCATGACAAATCTATCTTTTTAATTGGACCAAAAGGGATAAAAGCTTGCCGAACATGTTCTTCACGGAGTTCAAAATTGATGCTCCCAACATACACCCTGAAAACAAAAGAATATCAAAGATATTATTTTAATTCTCAATGTTCATGTAATAAAAATATTAGGGAGTGTTAGAAAAAAATTTGCCAAAGTTCTGTTACAAGATGAGGCAGTTCAACAATGCAAACTACAATCATGCACATTCGGAGAAAGACCATAGACCATTTGGCATTCATCAGTGAAGAACATGAAAGACACTGCTAGGGCTGTAATTACATTGTTGACTTCTCAGTCTACCTGCACATTAGAGCTAATGCTCTCTGTCTTTGAGCAGCTGTCTGTAGGGCAGACATCTGTTGCTGTTGGAGAGCTTGCTGTTTTGCTAACACCTGAGAGAAAAAAAGGGTAAGATCACAGATACAGGCTATTATATAAAGGGTTTTTATACATATCTATGGAAAAGATTCCAAGTTAATCTTAACACTTTCCAGACACAACTGTGATGAGTGAAGACACCTACTGTAGCATGAGAAAAAGGCAGCTGCTAAGGGCTCAGGCCATGGCAATTTGCATACATTCAGTTTTTGTTTCACAGATCAAGGCTGGCAGTTAAGTATGCTGTTTTCCAAGCTGACAATACTAGCTCACAAATTTCACTACTCTTTCAAAACTTCAAATTGTGTTTGGAACCCTGATAAAAATTTTAATATTCAGTGGCCCGAAGGGATGGAGGGAAAGAACATTTATCTACCTCATTACTATAAATAAATTATCATGACCGCAAAGCAATTTGTCTGCCTGACAGTTCTTAAGTTAGAGTAGCATTGACCACAACAATGGATGATGAAAAAAGGCAATAACTATGGAACAGAAAACTCTTAGCCTAAATTTTCCATGCAGTTCAACCAACACCACCACACTAAAAGATTTCATGTTTGAAAATCCGACCTGTTGGACAGACTGTTCCATTGCAAATCTCTTTGCCTTCTTGAGCATCTCTTCCTGTTGATAGGTCAGAGGAGGCAGTGCCCTTTTTACTTCTGAGGGGCGTGGCTGCATACCACCTGCTCCTGGCCCAATAACAAGTTCTCCATTCGATCCATCATCAATAGGTTGATCTTCTACATCTCCATTTGCTGCACCAGCCACAGGTGATTCTATGGGATAATTATATAGCAGTCATGAATATATCAATGATAAACCTATAACCACCTTCATGTTTAATCGGAGTTCCATCAACAAGCACACCTTTTAAAAGCAAAATTTCTGGCATGATGAGTTAAGAATCAAATTTGTTGAATATTGATGCGATGTCAGCCAAAAGAGAAAGTTTTAGGTCTAAATCTTTTCAGCATTTGTTAGCATGTCGGTCAATGTGTGAAAACAAATGATCAAAAAAAAAAGTTTCCACGTATTCTATAGGATAAAATTATCCCTTTCCAACAGATTTGCATTTGATAATGTCAGTCAGTCTCTTTGGCAAAAGTGACAGAGTACTGATAGAATAACTCTTCATTACAGGTATAAATATTTCTAAACCATTATACACTTGTTTTACCACCAAAGATCGAGTCAGTGTCATGATGATTATCCTGGCTTCAAGCCAAACCGGCACTGGCTAACTTGATTTGGATGCAAAAGACAAAAAACAGAGAAAGAGAAAAAAAGAGAGAAAGCAAAAAGAAATGTTATCATCCATCTACACTGTATTAATACAACCACCGTAAAAAAAAAAAAAAAAAAAAGAAAAGGAATGAAGATTTACAGCAAGTTACTACATGTGGTATGAAGAGTACTCTTGCTCCAGCTTGTACTGATGTTTTTAACTCAAACAGGATTTTAGGACATTACTACTGGTTCAGGAAGCTTTTCATTTATATTCAAGTTTTCTTGTAGTGGTAGCATAATAAACAGAGGCTATTAAATTGCCAGATGTGTGCAATATGCTATTGTTTTGATCAAAGGATTCCGTTTGTGCTTACAGCTGTTGCTGAAGAGGCAACAGCTGAAAGTCTTGAAAACATAAAAACAAGAAAATTTAGGTTTCTCTTGCTGTTTGAAAACTTTGAGGCCCAAATTTTTAAACACTATGTGTAGTTTAAAGAGAGGGATTTTGAATGTCTTGAATCAGCTACACTAGATGAACCCAAGAAAGTTGGGTTGGTCTGTTTTTTTTTGTTCTTCAACTGCATGTGCATGTTCTGCTCAAAGCTTCCGAAATAAAAATAAAGAGATGATATATAATATTGCAGAGTGTTCAAGTACATGTAGGAGCCAAAGCTTTGCACTCTTTCATGAGCATTATTGAAGATCTATTTCAAAGACCAACAAACCTCCCCCTGGCCCAACATCAAAGCCTCTTTTCCGTCTTCTCCGTTGGCTACCATCACCTTCGCCATTTGTCTTCTCTTCAGGTGCTTGAGCAGCCAACTGATCAACCTACAATGTGAACAAAGAGCCAAAATGTTTAGTTATTGGTCCCAGTTGTTCAAAGGATGGACAATGCTATCCATTGGAAAAATCTTTATCTGGTGGATAGGGCAGTATGTTTTGTTAATAATGGTAACAGGACTGACAAATAGTTAACTTGGTAAAATGTGCAACAACAGGGTACACATGACGCTTATTGTCCACCAACACACACATGATGTGTCAACTGTCCTATTACCCTGTCCAATTACAAGCATACCATGTCCTATTAAAGTGCAAATGGGGCTGAAGATAACCAACCATGTTTTAAAATTTTGCTATGGTTTTGACGAACCCTCTAACTCTCAGGTGTGATCAACATGAAACTTCTCCCTATGACTGCACACATCACCCAGCAAACAGCTACCGAGAATACTCAAAGTGATCAGGTATAAGTAATTACCATTAGCTGCCCTGTGGACAACTAGACTCTTAGACTACACATCGTCGGACAAACACACTCATGAAGTTCCTGCTTGAGCTAAATATCTTGCAATCGAAAGTAAGCATTTTACATTACTGCCCAAACAGCAGTGTACGAGGTAAACTAAAATAACGAAAGCCATTAGTATAATTTTGAACGGTTATTTCGCTGAAGGTCAACTGATTAGTTGATGAACGCATCCATGGGATCAAGCAAGGAAATTAAAGCTGCCGCAGTCTTGAAAGTTTATCTATACAGTTTATCGCCGAATACATATTTTTTACGAAATGAGCTAAGCTTTCAAAATAAACATTAAAATAGACAAAGAGACATATGCTACACATAGCGACAAAAAAATATCCATACTGAACCATCAATAATTTCGCTCACAATTTTAAACAACACGAGGATTAAATTTATTCTTGTTTCAACGGAGTTAACAAATGCATGTTCAAATTGCCACTTTTTGTACGTTTCAGGCGGAAACGAACCCTAAAACACAAAAGAAAGCTGCAAGAAAGAAATCAAGGATCAAACAGAAGATAACCTAAACAATATAAGTCCACTTATTGTACCTTTCCGTTCACGCTTTCTTGCGTCGGCACCTCAGCCACGGCAGCCGCCATAACTCAACATGTGTAAAGTAGCAAGATGAAGCATGCCGGGGGTTATCTGCCAACGCTATTTCTTTCCTTTGTTTTAATTGGTTAACCCTTCTACCAATCATTGCATTTTTAATATCTTAAAATAGTTTGAAATGTGAATATCACTCATTGGTTAGATATTTTTCACCCAATCAGATTCTTTGTACTTTTGCTGCCAGACAGAGAGTGTTTCCGGGAAAAGTATGGCGTTGGGCGAAGTTATATTTCGTGTGCCGTTTCTGGTCCTTTTAGAGTGGTTCCTTTGCGTGGATATCACACATTACAGTGACTGGACGCCTTATGCAAGATTAATGCAGCTATCGGGTGAGTTTGATCTCATTTTGATCACATTAACATGTTTTTTAAAGGCTTTAAAGCCATGGTATAGGTGATTATATATCCAGTTTTTCTGTTACGTTTTTTGTTACGTTTTTTGTCGAATTTAGTAATTTGAGCTTAAAGATACGCTGATCAGGCGTCCTAGACTTTCAGTCCGTTATCCATGTTTTAGAATTTTATTATAAGCTTGAACCCATTAACAGGAGTTGGTATATCAATCAGCCCTGTCTCTTTGACTGTGTGTTTACATGAGCAAGCAGTTTCGGAAGTTCCTGCTGTTCTGAGAATGAACCTTTGGCCAAAGACCTTTTTTTTTAATTACATTATTTCCTTTATTGCGAAATTAAAATAATGTAGTAAATCTAAGCTCATCGCACTTATTCTAAATGCCATTCGGTGGACCAGAGAAGCAATACAAGTAAATAATTATGCTCCTTTCACTCTCTCTGGGTTATGATGTTTTCGCCCTAGTTTTCGTTATTTTTCAATGTCTTAACATATCTGAAAGAGAATGCATAATCATTTTGTCCTATGTATTTAATATTTACTGTTGTGATATCTGTTTTAGTTATTATAATCATAACTATTATTATTTCTTAATGGTATTTATATGGAAACAAACTATTGAAAAAAATTAACCCTTTAACTCCCATGAATGACCAAGATAGAATTTCTCCTTAAAATATCAAAACAATATCAAACAGGCAAGTGATGAGAATAAACAAAAACATCAACATGTTGATCCCATACCAAATTCTCAGCACTTACACGATAAGAATTGTATGCTAGACAGTTAGGAGAATTATTGATGAGATCTTGGGAGGGTGTTAACAAGAGTACACAACATTCTGTATCAGGAGGTCTGTCTTTAACCATAACTTATATTAATGACCCAGTTCTATTGCATTTTTTGTTTTAGGAATCGTTTTATGTTTGGTACTATCCCTTCTTGGCCGAGATGAACTCATTAATTTCTACAGCCACTCTCTTTTCATCACTGTGGTGACATTTATGCTGTACCTGAATGCATACAACAGCTTAAATCTGTACAATGCCTTAGAGGAACAAGGTCTCTCAAAGTTGATTACGGAAGATGGTGCAATATTTCTGCTATTAATGATAACTGGAGCTTGGATGGTCTATTTAATATCACTTGGAATGTACTCACGGGTGTATAACTCTTTGAAACCAGTTATGTTTTCAATGGCAGCATTCCCTGTTATGTTACGGCATATGTCAGCTTCAAATCAAAAAGATGATCCACCCTTATGGCTCTGCATTTGCTTTGGTTTTGCGTTTTATTTGGCTATAACAGGCACCTATCAGTGCATTCATGATATTGTCACGCATTTTATTACATCAGCACAAATTATCCAGTGGATGTACAGGATGTATGGGTTGACTGTCACTGTTGTGTTTCACTGGCGCAGAGTGAAAGTTCCGTTCTGTATGATGACTCTATGGGGGATATTATTTTTATACAACAGTTTGAGTTTTTTGCTGTTCTCCAGTGAATCAGTGACAGTTTTGCAGCTGTTTAATTTAACAATGGCCTTAACTTGCAACTCAGTTCTCTCAATGACATCATGTTGTTTCATAATTTACAAGCTATCTGGATATATACTGAATATCATCAAACGATACCATCATGAGGATAACATTGCCCCCCCTGGTGACCCTTACAGCTCTCCTGATGGTCTTAGAGAAGGTTTCGGATTTTTCTTTCTTGGTCTTTACACTGGACTTTCAAGTTCAAAGATAAGTAGAAAGCTTGTGCTTTTGGAATTGATTTTTTATCTAATTATTTCAGCTTTAGCAAGATCAATGTTTGAAATAACTGAACCTGTTCTCTTGGGGCTTGCATCACAACCAAGCATCATCTACCGCAAACATTTACGTGTTTTGTCATTTTGCATTTCACTCCTGGGAGCGTCTATTTATCTGGCAGTAAATTTGTACTTTTTGAAAGAGAAAATTCCTTTCATTACTCCAAATGTCATTACCATTGCTCAGATAATTGCTGCACTTGTATTGTACTTCTTGTATGTGTACGAGTCACGTCAAACTCAAATATGGGAAGAACTGGATGACTATGTGTACTTCATCAATGGCTCCTGTAAAGTTTTTGAATTTGTGGTCATCTCAGCCGTTCTTTTCTACAGAGTTTGTGACTTCAGTTTAGAGTGGACACTGTTTCAAATTGTTATGGCAGTGCTGCATCTCTACTTTAATATCTGGACTCCTGCAAAGGAAGGTTGGCTAAGTTTAAAACAGCGTCATCAGGTGAATCAAAAACTGAACTCATTGCCATCAGCAACAGAGAAAGAAATTGATGAACTTGAAGATGTTTGTTCAATCTGTTTGGAGGAGTTGAAAGCTGCAAAAGTAACTCCTTGTAGACATTATTTTCACAGTTTATGCCTTCGAAAATGGTTAAATGTCCAAGACAAATGCCCCATGTGCCATACAGCTCTGCTATCACTATAAACATAGAAACTTTCTCTCTGCAACTCTTTTAAGACAAGGCACATTTTACATCAAGTCTTTGTCACATGCTATACCCAGTAGTCACTGCAACTGAAGGCCTGGCATATCAGGTAATTTGTCACTGCGACTTGTTCTAGATGTAGTTTCAATATGCACAGAGGGACTTAAGTTGCAGAAACTGGCTGGTGTGGTTTGCTGTCAGTATTTTGCAACCTTCAAGCTATTGTAACAGGGTGATTTATGACTAACATTCAAGAAATGTGCAAAATTAATGAGTTACTACTTGATTACAGAGAAAGGGACAAAAGTTATTTGATGCTGTTTTTAATCTGTACCACAGCATAACTAGGGAATAATTGTTTTTTTCTTTGCGTAATTGGTGAGCTCAAATGTGAACTTTGGGGGCTAGAAATGAGGAGACTATCAGGTATTGATTGAGTGGTGTGATTATTTAAACAAAGCTGAGTGACTGTCTTAGTTTAACAAAACTGTGTCCTAAACAATGCTTTATTCAGCTGAACCTTTTATCTGAACATTTGTTTTTAATTAGTGAACAGTGTTAAGAGGGCCAAGACCTAACAGTGGAAGGACATTTGTTTCATTAAATCAACCCTCTTAACCCTTTAACTCCCAGACGTGATTAACATTCAACTTCTCCCTATAATATCTATACACTATGAAAGGCAGAGGCTTGATCAAGGAACTGTTTAACAGCCAGTGAAAGGAATAACAGCCCACTGATTGTGTAAAACTGTGGTTTGGGTTAGACCTCATGAAAATAACAGGCCCAGTGAGTGTACTGAACATAGAGCCAAATCAAAGATGGTTGTTAAACAGTGATGATTATTTATATAACCAATTTGTTTTAAAATAGAAATGTTCCTACATACTTTGGCTGGCTGAGCTTGTAACTCCTTTCAAACTCAGGGTTTTTACTGCCAAGGTATATTAAAGTTTAAAATGTCCTTTGTTTGAATAGTTCTGAAGAATTACCCCATAATTGCCTAAACAATCACAGATAATGTATGTAAATATCTATTTATAACTCTTTCAGTCCTGCAAGTGACTAATGAGTGATTTCTCCTAACAATATCAATGCAACATCAACCAGAAACATGATGAGAAGGTAGAAAATTATCAGAAGGGGCATGTTATTTGATTCAACACCAAATTCTCAGAGCTACAATCATAAGACTGCATAGAAGACATATAGGGGAATTTGTGTCAAGATAGCAGGAGTGAAAGTCTTAACAAATAGATTCCATGTTGCTGTACTTCTGTTCAGTAATAGATCAGAGTTTGTGACAAAATGTGGTAAGAATTTTACATTTTGACATAACCTGTGATTACTGTACAGATCTGCACCAACATAGAATCTCTTTGTTTTGTATAACAGATAAGCTAAATGTTGTTAATGGTGATGTTATCTTTGTGTTTGTCCTCCAACAGCTCATAAGTAATAACCGATCAAAATGCTTGCATATTTCAGCTTATCATACGATAAAATAATGCTACACTGTACTATTTGGTGTAACATGAAAAACTAACTAGTGCAGTGTTTCTTCAAGCTCCAAATACAAAGATATTCAAAATATTAGGCAAGGACTTATGGTAATAGAATTGTACATGTTTATGTACAGTTTGTCGTATGTATTCCAATGAGATGCCTTTATAGTCTGAGAAAATAATTGTAAGCTGGCAATGCTAAGTAAAATTCAGTGTGTATATTCCAAGGGAAGACAAATTTAATTAAAGAGGAATAGATACATGTTGTAAGTATTCTTTAAGTAACATGATCTATTTTGTTAGCATTAATAGGATTATGAAATTTAGTTTAAAATGTTAGAAACAATAAAGCAAGTTTATTTTTTAATGCAGATTGTATGTTCTCAATGTTGTGTCCTAATATTCAAGGGATTTTATATCTTGGGTATTACTGTTTTATGTATTGATGTTTCACTGTCAGATTTTATCTTCATGTGTGGGAGGAACTGAGTAGGCGAGGTATGTTGCAAAGCAACACACCCTTGTAGGGGGTCTGGAGGCATACTCTCCCACAAAAATTTGGAACCCACTGAGACGTGATTCCCAGCATTCTGACACATACTTGGGTAAGTTTTTTAAAGCCAGCCATTGATGCAAGAGTAAATTTGAAAATAGTTATTTTATGTCTTTGATCCCAGTTCCCAAAGTAGCTGGTGAAAAATAGTCTGACAGATGAGCAGTTTCCACCACCTACCGACTTCAAACAACAACCCTGTGTTGCTAAATGTTGGTTTCACTCATGTTTTTATTTGCTTATTTGTTTGTAAGTCCTTCATGAAGTGTGCCAGTGGGTTTAGGTGACTCATAACTTTAAGCCTGTGACTCATTGTGAGTTTAGTTTCATTTGCAGTGAGGTGGGTTTCAAACTTATGGATCTTCCTCTTTGGCTGTTTTCGTTTTTTTTTTTTTTTTTTTTTTTTTTTTTTGGTAAAAGTTTCTTTCAAAATGACAATATTCACAAATGAAATTATGAATGTTGTACAATAACTGGCTGATAAATACTTCCCATAGGCATTCAAGTGCTGTGTCTCCACAAAAGCACTTTTATGAGCTATATTAATGTGATCAAGCTACATTCCTAACTAAAGGCATATTCTGAGGGATAACGAAGTACGTTCCAGAAAGCAGTGGAGGTCAAACACTTCCGCCCGTGACCAATTGTATGTACGTGATGCGGGCCTGTCCTGTTGCAGTTTTTCCAATATGGTCTCCATCTTGACTCTCAATGAAGACTGCCTTTGCAGAATTATTTCCTTTTTGGATGATCCGCCCTCCTTTCTCAGCCTCGCTCTTACCTGCAGGAGATTTAACCAGGTGGTTAACAACACTCGGAGCATTCTCCATCCAAAGGTACTACTAGCAAAAGCTGAATATTACATAAAATGCTACCTTGTGGAAATCACCGATGACGAGAGCGACTACCGCAAGTTTAGCAAGTTGGAAGATCTTCTCTCCAATGCTGTGCGTCTTACAGAAGCTAAGAAAACCCTGACTTTTGCGAAATTGGTGAATGTTTGGGAGAAAAACGGACCTGTAGTCGCTAAACTGTACACGTGGATCAGAAATCAGGAGAGTCGTACTGAAAATGGTGAACCAAGAGCGACTTGTGTTACCGAATATCAAAGTGTCACGTTGCATTTGCCAGGCTGTGACAAGGACTTAAAGATCGATACCACCTACTTTTATGACTACTACAATAATTACGACAACGAGTTGAGCATCCACATAACTTGTGGAGATATGGATGTAAAGTGGGAAGGTAAGTCGGCGGGTTGTTATTGATGCATTCAAGTTTAGTTGACTGCATTGCTGATAATTGTCAATCAACTCGTTTAGTTGACTGACTTGACTGTTGACTGAGTGAATGACTGACTAATTAAGAGAGTGACTGATTGACTGACTGATTGATTGACAGATTGGTTGGGAGAGTCGTGTTTTCAACAACTGAATTGATAAATAAATGTAAATTGGCCAACGTAAAGAGTTTGTAAAGCTGAAGTTTAGAGCATTATATGTAGCTCTTCATCAGAGTAAATACAAGAGAGCGACTGACTGGCAGACTGCTGCCTGATTGAGAGAGTGACTGACTGAGTGATTGATTACTGACAGATTGACAGAGTGACCAACTGACTTTCCAAGTGAGTGACTGACTAACTGACAGACAGACTGATTAAGTGAGTTACTGACTGAGAGGTTGAGAGAGTGACCGACTGATTAAGTGACTTATTAACTGACTGAGAGTCTAACCAGCTTTATTGACTGTCTGACTGTCTGAGAGTCTGACCAGCTTTATTGACTGTCTGACTGTCTGAGAGTCTGACCAGCTTTATTGACTGACTGACTGACTGACTGAGAGGCTAACCAACTTTATTGACTGACTGACTGTCTGAGAGTCTGACCAGCTTTATTGACTGACTCACTCACTCACTGAGAGTCTGACCAGCTTTATTGACTGACTGACTGACTGACTGACTGAGAGGCTAACCAGCTTTATTGACTGACTGACTGAGAGTCTGACCAGCTTTACTGACTGACTGAGAGTCTGAGCAGCTTTATTGACTGACTGACTGGTTGAGAGAGTCTGACCAGCTTTATTGACTGACTGACTGACATACTGAGAGTCTGACCAGCTTTATTGACTGACTGACTGAGTGTCTGACCAGCTTTACTGACTGACTGACTGAGTGTCTGACCAGCTTTATTGACTGACTGACTGACAGTCTGACCAGCTTTATTGACTGACTAACTGACTATCTTTCTGACTGACTGAGAGAGTCTGATCAGCTTTATTGACTGACAGACTGGCTGACTGAGAGAGTCTGACCAGTCTGACTGATGATGAAAGAGATGATGAGAGGAAGGGGCTATGGAAGTGACTGATTAAATGAATAAGTCAGTTATTGATTCATTAACTGATCCAATAACCTCTCTTTTTTATGCCATGCCTGGTTGGGCTTAAATGGTGTGCTAAGTCATGCCAGCCTAATAGTCATGAAAATATTTGCACCAAAAAAAAAAAAGGTTTGGCACACATGGGTGTGGTGAATTACAGTCAAGTTGCCGATGGTTCAACTTACCAACACCAACTCGCCAATGTATAAAATCAAGTAGAGACGTCGGTGAGTTGGTCTTCAATCCAGTACAACTTATTAGAAGTTAAAGATAAAGAAAAGTAAAAGATCTTTAGTTAAAAAAAAACTTTTTTTTTTTTCTTCTAACAAAGTTTATATGGATCTCATGGTGAAAAACGCAAGGTAAACATCAGCAATGACTCATGTTTCTCCCAAAATCCAAACAACTAACTTTGCCTATCAGCCCTTCTTTGGGTTCTGGTCATCAGCTTCTGGTTAGATACTTATCATATTTTTATGGCCATTCACCGGCATAGCCTGGTATTAGGAGGGACCAAACGTAAACACCTTCAAAAACGAGCTACCAAAGCATGAATCTAGAATGATGCTGGTTGTGAAACAATAACTCATTCACGTCTAAAGCTTTTTTGGTCATTGGCGATGTTCACCTTGAGATCCCTATAAACTTTGTTGGAAATAAAAAGAATTTTTTTCTATTGAAGATCTTATCTAGAAAGCTAAGTATTTTAAAAAAAATCTGACTGATTGACATGATAAGTCTTTACGGTGTTGTTGTCACACAATAACTCGTTCGCATCTAAAGCTTTTTTGGTCATTGGTGACATTTGCCTTACTTTATTCGCCTTGAGATCCTCATAAACTTTGTTGGAAATAAAAAGAATTGTTTTTTACTAAAGATCTTGTCTAGAAAGCCAAGTTTTCTTAAAAAAATCTGACCGATTGACATGATGAGTCTTTATGGTGTTGTTGTTGCACAATAACTTGTTCGCGTCTGAAGCTTTTACAGTCATTGGCAATGTTTACCTTGCTTTATTCACCATGAGATCCATATAAACTTTGTTGGAAGAAAAAAAATGAAAATGTTTTTTTACTAAAGATCTTTTACTTTTCTATATCTTTAACTTCTAATAAGTTGCACTGGATTGAAGACCAACTCGCCAATGTCTCTACTTGATTTTATATGTTGGCGAGTTGACGTTGGTGAGTTAAACCGTTGGCGACTTGATTGGATACCGGTGTGGTTGACTAAGGTCCTAGGTGTATTCAACCCCTCTTTTTCAAAGAAAAATTACAGGTTATCAACAAAAAAACAAAGCAGGCTCTAAAATGCCTGGTAAAGTTAGCTTCTACTGAATGTATGTATCAAAGTGAATTGGAATTTGTTGTGAGCAAGTTAACATATTAAATCAGATAGTGTTGTGCACTTTTTTACATCAGCAGGCATGTCTTGAATGCTATGTTGACTATAGGGTTAAAATACTATTTTCAAAGCCAAAATACCATTTTGTACAGATTTCACCCACAGTTGCCCAGATGATTACCAGTACTGGAAAGAAGAAGAAGTCCATGAAGCAGTTGAACCAATGAAACCAGTGGTGAAACTCCTACAGGAAGAGCTTGGTGATACAGTTCCTCCAATAACAGACATTTTCTTTATCTGGCTGTGTTATTTCTTTCCACACAGAAAGAACTTGGTAGTAGAACACAAACTCAGGTTTACAGACCCATCCAGGAATGAAAAACCCACCCCGGGCCATGCTCAGCCAGCTATAGATCTGTTTCATCAGAACTTTCAAGCTGAAACCAAGTTGAAAAGTCTAGTGTCTGGATGGAATGATACTGAGTCAGACATCTCCAGTCTGATTGCCAAAACTGTGGTTGTCTTAATTCAGAGATCAGAGACAAAATTCCTTGAAAAGCTTGAAGGGGTTGCTGAAAGCTTTTATCGGATTACCTCAGATTATGACTTAAAGTTGCTGCCTAAAAGGCTCTTGCTGGACTTGATTTTGCGAACAAAACTTGAATTCAGTAATTACAGCCCTGGTTCAATTGCAAACAAGTTTGTAGAAAGCATAGCATCATTCAGGTTTTCAGAAGGTAAAGTGGTGAAAGTTTGGGGTGGTTTTCATGGGGATGGGAGAGGAGAATCATCTTGGGATGACTTACTAGAGCTTAAAGTCACCTTACCAGATGGCAAGGAATTCAAGTTGGCAAGCTACAGACGTCACGCACCATCTATTGAAATTGAGAAGTTGAGTCCAGTTACTGAGCTGTTTCAACAAGGTATTTGTAAATGTATGGAGCAAGAGAAGCACATCCCCATGTTAGATGATCGCTTTACGGCTTTTTATTTGTTGCATGTCCTAAAATTTGGTAGAGAAGATGAAGCATTCCTTGGAAAGAAGGATTTTAAGAATCTGATCAGTACAGGATGTAGTGAGGAAGAATCATCGGAGGAGAGTGAAGAAGAACAGAGTGATGAACAATAAACTTTTCACTTATGTTATAGCTTTAGAAAGTGTTGAGGTTTATAATCTAACTGACAGAAAAACACTACAATCCTACAAACTCAACTACTTTATTAAACAGCCAGTAATGTTCTTAACAAGGAGCAACTCCTAAAAGCAGTACAATACTTATTGTTAATAAACTTAATTAAGCCCACCACAGTCTCTACCCAGGCTCACCACTGACATAATCTCACTGCTGTCTTCAAAGTTCCTTGAAATGAGCAATCTCTTGCGGTAACTCTCTCTTGGTTTAGCTTTCAAAACAGTCGTCACTCCAACAACAACAACAGCTAGTACATAAGTTAATCTTTATGTGTATATTCACAAAGTGTTCTGGAACCTTCCAGAAGCTTACAAAAGAACTATTTTAGTAGTATTACTTTATTGATAACTGTGTGACTTGATAATTGTTCTAGAAAATGCTATGGTATGCATGTCAGCTTGAATAAGCAATCTGGAGATTTATAAAAGCTTATATTAACAACAACAATTCCTCATTAAAAAAAGTATTCTTTTTTTCCTTCAAAAGGACAGTCAAGAAATTAATCAAGTTGAATGTAGTTGTAAATTATTTAGTAAGTAGAAGGACTATAACTGCAACAGTCTGTAAGCCAGCCCTGTAACAATCTTTTGTGATGTGTAAATTGTAGTTATGCCTTTTAAAGGCAGTTAAAACAGATTTTAAAAAGTAATGGTAATATGTTGTATGCATTATATGATTTTTCTTTCAAAAGTCATTCAATATTAATTAAACAAATTTTTACATTTTCAATATTTCTGTGAAAACAAAGAAGCTCTTAATTGATGAATGATGGAGGGGAGGGGGGTTCGGAGAATTTTGGTTGTGTGTCATGATAAAATTTACCTGAACCCTCTATTTGGCTCTGTAATATTCTCATGGTTCCCTCTCATTGGTCCATTGACTCTGGTTGTGACCACTGATCCTCCCTTCATTCTCCCTGAAAACCATGTGATCTGCTCCAAATTCTCCTCCCCTGTTCCCTCCAGGCAATAAATACTGACTGGTCTCTGAAACTAATAACAATCATAGTGACTTTGTCTTTCACTTCAGCACCTTGGGTGCCTCTCTTGTTTTACTTCTGGGGTCTAAGATCAGGTTTGCAATATATTTTTTCTTCACTCTGTTCGACTGTTTTAATTGCTTTTATTTGTTTATTTCTCTTATTTTTTTTTGGAATGATTTGATGGCTGAGTGTTCTCCTTTCAATATCACCCCTGAATCAAACATTAAGGTCATCACAAAAGAGGAGATGACCACCAACTAAACAAGCTCTTAATTGTTACTGGTAGACAAATTCTCCTTGCCAGAACCTTAGGAAATGTACTGAGAACAGTATGGAGAAGATGCATACTGATGTTAGGGTGTAAAGGGTTAATGTCAGTTTTGTTACCTTGTTTTTATGTTTTGTTTGTTTTCTTGTTTGTTTGCTTTTTTGTTTAATTTAGTCTTCCCCCTAGGGACTGTATTAACCAATATCTTTCATTTGGGTAATAACATTTTTCAGCATAGTCTTACAGTTATTTGGCACTTTAGTTCATTTAACACATACAAGTAAAGAATACAAACATTTTACTAGTTTTATTATTTAACTTAAGGAATTATTATCTTGGTTAGGTTAACAAAACTCAAATGCAGTATATAGTTGTCCACTCGCATGACTTAGTGTTATCAACTAGGTTGATGACATAAATAATGGTCAATGTAAAGAGTTTCAAAGTCAACATTTCAAGCATCAGAACCCTTGCTCTGACACCATAAAGAGTGTCATAGCTTACTTCTGAATGTTAGCCCTTTGTTGTATGCTCTGATGAAGGGCTACTGCTCAAAAGTAAGCTTTCGGACACTCTTTACTGTGGCCAATTAATATTACACAGTCGATCATACTAAATTACCCTGTTATACTTTCCCACCAATGCAGCATCATAGTTTCCTTAGAAACATACCCACCTTCACTCTTATGATTGTTCTTTTTTTACCTATTTTGGTTGAGTTGTGTTTGCAGAGAGGTGAGGTTCAAATAAAGGAATACTTTTTAAGAATATTTCTGATACATTGACAGGGTGATAATTTTGGGAGCATTTCTTTTTGGCTTTTCATTCAAATCTCATTTTTTCCTTTCATTTTGTAAAAGAGTCCTTCAGAGTAACAAAATTCACAAATGACTATAAGCATTGTAAAAATAATTACAAATATTTCTCATGTGGATTCAATTAAAGGGCTGGGTTTTCATCATCAAGTTGTATACCCTATTGAATGCAAAAATTAAGAACAGGAATAATTCAGATGAAAGCTCTTTAGCGATATACCATATTCACAGGGATAAGGAAGAGAAAAAAATCGAGAAAGTAGTTAAGCGTGTTATACTTTTGTATGTACCTGATGCGGACCTAATTTGTTCAATTTAAATTGTGACCAATATGGCCTCCTTCCTGACTATCAATGATGACTGCCTTTGCAGAATTATTTCCTTTTTGGACGATCCGATTTCGTTTCACAGCGTTGCTGTCTCCTGTAAGAGGGTTCAACAGGTGATTAACAACACTCGGAGCATTCTCCATCCAAAGTTGCTGCGAGTAAAAGCTGAATATTACATAAAATGCTACCTTGTGGAAATCACCGATGATGAGAGCGACTATGGCTACAACAAGTTTAGCGATTTGGAAGATATTTTCTCCAATGCTGCGCGCCTTACAGCAGCTAAGGAATTCCTTACTTATGCAAAAGTAGTAAATGCTTGGAAGAGAAACGGACCCGTGGCAGCTAAATTATTGACATGGATCAGAAATCAGGAGAGTAGCACAGAAGAAGACGAACTGGGAGAGACTTGTTTTACCGAATATCTAAGTGTCACGTTGCATTTGCCAGGCTGTGACAAGGACTTAAGGATCGATACCACCATCTTTTACGATCACAGCGGTGATAACGACGGCGAGTTGACCATCCAAGTAACTTGTGGAGATTTGGATGTAAAGTCAAAAGGTGAGTTCGCAGGTTGTTTTTGATGCATTTAAGCTTATTTAAGATTAGTAATAATGAAAAACCGTCAATAAAAGAAGATGACACCTATTTCTTCAACAAAACAGACACCATTTACTTGCCTGGGGATAAGAAAAATTTTTGTCTGGCATGAAATCTGACAGATTTTTCAATTTACAAGTCATAATTTAAGGAAAACATTACCTAAGAAAATTTGATCTCACTCTTTGAGTGCGAGTCTTCTAGGCAGAAGGCTGCTAGAATATTTAATTTTTATCCGGCAATCAAAGGGTGAGGATGGAAGATTAATTTTGTACCTTTGAATGCTGCATGACAGTCAGTACTCAGGATACTCAGAGTACACTATTATGGCTCCCAAGTTTACATTCGTGTTGAATTCCCAGGTCCAAGTAATGCTAAAGTTGTATATTCATGGGATTGGCGTGTGGTGATTAACAAATGATTATTAAAATTAACAACTTGTAAATTTGAGGGGGATAAATCTTCTCAAGATTTTTGCTGGAGCAAAAAAAAAAAAGGGGTCAGCCCAGTGCGCAAAGGCCTTTGGGACTGAGTGTCTGTCTGAGATAGTAATTGACTGTCTGACTGATTGATACAGTGACTGACTGAGTGATTGACAGACTGACTGAATGAATAAATGACAAAAGGGAAGATGGAAATAGTTGGGTGTGGAAGTGAGTGAGTGAGTCAAGGATTGGCTGATAAATTGATTGAGTTATCCAGTAAGTATCCTTTATTTTTGCAATATGCCTGCTTGGGTTTCAATGGTGAGTTAAGTATCCCAGCCAAAATAATTGTAAAAAATTTGAACCTAAAACAAGGTTTTGTGGCAAACATGGGTGTGGGTGACTAAGGTGACCACCTCTTTTCAAGGAAAAATGACAATTTATATGAAAATCAGGTTAATTTTGAATTTTAGGAAAAGTTATTTTAGGACCCTCTACTGATTGTCTGTGATAAAGTGCAGAGGTATTTTATGTTTATCAATTTTGTAGCAGTTATGGGCAAGCTGCCCTTTTACATCTGTCGGTATTATGCACAATTCTATGTAAGTAGACTGTTTCTAATGCTATTTTTACTCTATGATTAAATTACCATTTTCAAAGGCAGAGTACCATTTTGTGAGAGTTACATCCGCTATTGCCCTAGCGATTATGAGTTTTGGAAAGAAAAAGAAGTTCAAGCAGTAGTTAAACCAATGAAACCAGTCGTGGAACTCCTGCAGAAGGAGCTTGGTGAGACAGTTCCTCCGATGACAAACAATTTTTTTGTCTGGTTGTGTTACTTCTTTCCACACCAGAGAACCTTGGCAACAGAACACAAGCTTAGTTTTGAAGACCCATCTAGGAATGAAACACCCACCCCTGAGGATGTTCAGCCAGCTATAGATCTGTTTCATCAGAACCTTCAAGCTGATACCAGCTTGAAAAACTTGGTTTCTGGATGGAATGATCCTGATTCAAACCTCTCCAGTCTGATTGCCCAAATTATGGCTGTCTTGATCCAGAGATCAGAGACAGAATTCTTTGAAAAGCTTCAAAGGGATACCAATGTCTTTTATGAGATTGCATCAGACCTTAAGCAGAAGCTACTCCCCAAACCACTGGTGCAGGACTTACTTTTGCGAACAGAGCTTGTGTCTAGTGATTACGACCCTGGTTCAATTGCAGACAAGTTTGTACAAGGTGAAGCTTCATTCAGGTTTTCAGGAGGTAAAGTCGTGACAGCTGTAGGTGGCATGCATGGGGATGGGGCAAGTTCCCCTTCTTGGAGTGAATTGGAGCTTACAGTCACCCTACCAGATGGCAAATTATTGGAGCTGGATGCAACCTGCAGATATTGGAGTGAACCTCTTCAAGTTGAAATGTTGAGTCCAGTTACTGAGCTATTTCAGCAGAGTGTAAATAAATGCATGGAAGGAGAGGAGCACATCCCCAAGTTAGATGACCACTTTACAGCCTCTTATCTTTTGCATGCCATGAAGTTTGGCACAGAAGATCTAACATTCCTTTGAAGAAAAGACATGACAAGAATCTGATCCATACATAGTCTAGTGAGGAAGGATCATATGAGGAGAGTGAAGAGGAACATAGTGATGAACAGTAAACTTTTCACCTACTTTATGACTTTAAACAGTATTTTAATCATAAGGACAGTTGAAACTAGTCAACATAACAGTGCAAGGACTGTGACTGTATTAACAACCTCAGGAAATGTACTGAGAACAGTATGGAGAAGATGCATACCGATAATGGTTTAAAGGGTTAATGTCAGTTTTGCAGCTTTGTTTATTTTAGTCTTCCCCCATAGGGATTGACGTACATCAGCCAAAATCTTTCATTTGGGTGATAACACTTTTCAGCACAGTCTTACAGTTATTTGGCCTTTTAGTTCATTTAACACAGAAAAGTAAAGAATATAAACATTTTATAAATTTTATTAATTCAAGGATCTTGTTTAGGTTGACAAAACTCAGATATTGGATATAGTTCTCACTCTCATGATTTAGTATCATCAACTGGGTCGATAACATAAATTGGCCACTGTAAAGAGTTTCAAAGTTGATGTTTCAAGCATCAGAGCCCTTTGTCATTTGCTCTGACAAAGGGCTAATGCTCAAAATATCAGTTTTGAAACTCATTATGATGGCCAATTCATGTGATCAACTCAGTTGATAATACTTATTGATGCAGCATCACAGTTTCTTTAGTAACATGCCCCTCTTCACTCTTATGATTGTTCCTTTTTTTACCTCTTGTGGTTGAATTGTGTTTGTTATTAGTTGAGTTTCAAATAAAGGAATGCCTTTTAAGGATATTGCTGTTACATTGACAGGGTGGTAATTTTGGGAGCATTATTCTTTTTGGCTCTTAAATTTAATCTATTGTTTTTTTGTTTTTGTTTTTTTCATTTTGTAAAAGAGGTTTTAAGAATGACAAAATTCACAAATGATTATGAGCATTGTAAAAATAGCTATAATCAATATTTTTCATGTGGATTCAAAGGCTAGGTGTCCATTATCAAACTACCTTCTTTACTGAATGCAAAAATTAAGAACAGGTATAATTTAGATGGAAACTCTCGAGCGATATGCTATATTTACAGGGATAAGGAAGTGAAGAAAATTCTAGAAAGCTGTGAATAGCCTGTAACACCTTAGCCCGTAACTAATTGTATGTACGTGATGCGGACCTCATTCGTTTCATTTTGCCATTATGGCGTCCTTCTCGACTCTCAATGAAGACTGCCTTTGCAGAATTATTTCCTTTTTGGACGATCCTAATTCCTTTCACAGCGTCGCTCTCTCCTGAAAGAGGGTTCAACAGGTGATTAAAAACACTCGGAGCATTCTCCATCCAAAGTTGCTGCGAGCAAAAGCTGAATATTACATAAAATGCTACCTTATGGAAATCACCGATGACGTCGTACTTAAAACCACGATTATTATTCGTGTTAGAAGACGCTTTCAGACTATTAATCGCTAGAAATGCCATATGCGATTAATAGTCTTACTTTAAGGACTTTTGAGCCAAATAATCGTAAAATTTGCACTCCGGAAATTAATAAACACTCCGGAAATTAATAAACACCTGTTTTATGCAAATTAGTTGTCCGCAAAGCTCTTCATGCGAAATCCGCTTGTAAGCGACTCATGACGTTAGCTGTGGCTTTACACCGGAGATCAGCCGTATGGCCTCTTTCTTGACTATCAATGACGACTGCCTTTGCAGAATTATTTCCTTTTTGGATGATCCGGCTTCCTTTCACAACGTCGCTCTCTCCTGCAAGAGGGTTCAACAGTTGATTAGCCACATTCGGAGCAGTCTCCATCCAAAGTTGCTGCGAGCAAAAGCTGAATACTACATAAAATGCTACCTTGTGGAAATCACCGATGGCAGGAGAGACTACAACAAGTTTAGAAATCTGGAGAATCTTCTGTCCAATGCTGCACGCCTTACAGCAGCTAAGGAACTCCTGACTTATGCGAAAGTTGTAAAAGTTCGGGAGGAAAACGGACCTGTGGCAGCTAAATTGTTTACATGGATCAGAAATCAGGAGAGTAAAACAGGGGAAGAAGGCATTCGGCAAGCGAATTGTTTTACCGAATATCGAAGTGTCACGTTGCATTTGCCAGGCTGTGACAAGGACTTAAAGATCGATACCACCTACTTTCATGTGCACATCGATGATCAAGACAACGAGTTGCACATCCGCGTAACTTGTAAAGATTTGGATGTAGAGTCAAAAGGTGAGTTTACAGGTTATTTTTTGAATTACAAATTACCGTATTTACTTGTGTATAATTCGACCTTTTATGACCAAAATATCAGCCCAAAAAATTACCCTCGACTTCTTAACAAGTCTTACACGAAGACCTGACCCAATAAATCCAAGAAATTGGCGTAACAATATTGCCTGAAGTCCGTTAGGAAAACTGAGTTTACAAAACTCGTTCCAATTGGGTTCGGGTTTCGTCAGTTTTCAGCGCATTCTTTGTCAACCGAAAAGTTTATAATAATAAATTTTAAGTTGCTTAAACACAAAGCTACTGGAGCTGATTTCTATTGTGTCTTCTGATCTGAAGGGTAGACAATTTTTCTTACAACGTCGCTGCTGTTTATAGTGATGAATGAATTTTCGTCTCCAGCGAACGGTTTTAGTAGCTTAGAGACCTAGCAAATGCTGTTCTCTGGCGTTGTCTTGTTTGTTACGCGCGACAATTATCCCTTCGAAGCTCTCGGTGTTCCTTCGGTCTTCTAAATCTCCTTTCAAACTCAACATTAAGATAAAAGGTTAGTTAAATGCAAAACGATTCCATTTTCAATGCGATTTACAAAATATGGTAAAATAGTTGTCTAGTGCATAAAAGTGCTCGTGTACGCTTAAATCGTGGTGATACAAATAAGTGCTAATAAACTTCACAGCAAGCGATTACATTTTGCTCTGCAGGTTTTTTTAATTCACCGTGTTTTCATTCTCAGAAATAAGCGATTAACTTTATGGGAAATATCGATTGGTCTGAAGTTTACTTTTACTACTAAAAATGATGAAAAATCCGATTTTTGACCTTGAAAATGGGGATCGACTTAAACACGAGTAGATACGGTAGTTGACTTCAGCGCTGATAACAGTGAAATTGGTTGAGATAGCTGAATTGAGAGTGTGATTGAAAAGCTGGCTGAATCGGTTACTTAGTACTGTGAGAGTGACTGACTGACTGACTGAGTACAACTGACTGAGTACGACTGACTGACATACCAAGTCAGCCCAATGCACTTAGGCCTTTAATGACTGACTGTCTGAGACAGTATTTGACTGTCTGACTGATTGATAACAGTGACTGACTGACTGACTGAGAGAGATGGGCTGATTTACTTGCTGACTGAGAGTAACAGAATGACTGCCAGACCAACTGATTGACAGACTGACTGAATGAATGAATGAATGAATGATGAAAGAGAAGATGGAAAGAAGTGGGGGTGGAATTGGGTGAGTGAGTCAGGGCTTGATTGATTAATTGATTGAGTCATCCAGTAAGCATCCTTCATTTATGTCATGCTTGCTTGGGTTTGACTGGTAAGTTCAGTCATCCCAGCCAAAATAATTGCAAAAAATTTGAACCTAAAAAAAGACTTCTTTGGCAAACATGTGTGTGATGACCCCCTCTTTTTAAGGAAAATTGACAATTTATAAGGAAACCAGACATGCTTTTGAATGCTAGGATAAGTTAGTTTAGGACCCTCTACTAATTGTCTGTAACAAAGTGCAGTGGAATTTTATGTTTAATATTTTTGTGACAATTATAGCAATTTGCCATAGTACATCTCTTGGTATTATACACTTCTATGTCAGCAGACAGTCTGTAATGCTATTTTGACTATATGGTCAAATTACTAATTTCAAAGCTAAAATACCATTTTTTGTAGATATCACCCTCTATTGCACTTGCGATTATCAGTATTGGGAAGAAAAAGATCTTCAAGCTGCAGTTAAACCAATGAAACCAGTGGTGGAACTCCTGCAGAAAGAGCTTGGTGAGACAGTTCCTCCAATAACAAACACATTTTTTGTCTGGCTGTGCTACTTCTTTCCGCACCAGAATACCTTGGCAGCAGCACACAAACTCAGGTTTAAAGACCCGTCCAGGAATGAAAAACCCACCCCAGGCTATGTTCAGCCAGCTTTAGATCTGTTTCACCAGAACCTTCAGGCTGATACCAAGTTGAAAAACCTAGTGTCTGAATGGAATAATCCTGATTCAAACCTTCCCAGTCTGATCACTGAAACTATGGCTGTCTTGATCCAGAGATCAGAGACAAAATTTCTCAAAAAGCTTCAAAGGGATGCCAATGGCTTTTATGAGATTGCCTCAGACCTTAAGCAGAAGCCATTGCCCAAACCACTTGTGCAGGACTTACTTTTGCGAACAGAGCTTGAATCTAGTGATTACAAACCTAGTTTAGTTGCAGACAAGTTTGTAGAAAGCAGAGCCTCCTTCAGGTTTTCAGGAGGTAGAGTTGTAAAAGCTTGGGGTGGCATGTATGGGAATGGGGGAAGCCACTCAACCTGGTATCAATTGAAGCTTAAAATCACCCTACCAGATGGTAAAGAATTGCAGCTGGATACAGACTGCAGACGCAGGAGGAACCATCTTCAAGTTGAAAAGTTGAGTCCAGTTACTAAGCTATTTCAGCAGGGTGTAAGTAAATGTATGGAAGGAGCAAAGCGCATCCCCAAGTTAAATTACCAATTTACAGCACATTATCTTTTGCTTTCCTTGAAATTTAGAGAAGAAGAAGAAACATTCATTGGAAGAAGGAGATGAGAATCTGAGCCATACACAGTCTAATGAGAAAGGATCATATGAGGGGAGTGAATAGTAACATGTAGTGAAGAGGAACATAGTGATAAACAATAAACTTGTCACTTACTTTATAGCTTTAGACAGTATTTTATTCATAAGGACAGTTGAAATTAGTCAACATGTCAGTGCAAGGACTGTGTAACTTAAATAGTCTAATATGGGTTTTGTGAATGCCTTTGGAAATCTTTTGTGATATGTATTTTAAAGTTATGTCTTTCAAAGACAGAAAGAGCTGATATCATTAATGAATGAAAGAAAAAACTAGTTTGCTCCATTTGGCTGTAAAACAGTTCAACTATTATATTTATCAGAATAGTATATATAGTCTAATATATATAGTCTATTATCAGAATAGTATATATAGTCTAATATATATAGTCTATTATAAGTTGGATATTCTAGCTCAAAAGAAGCTGTAGTACATTTTGAATCCGTTCCATCTGCAATAAGCAACACATCACATATCAGGGAAGGTAATTTTAATATTTTCATGACAACGAATTGGCTCTTAACTGATGAAAATTGATAATGCAAGGTTGGGGTTCAGGAAAGACACTCTGTGAGAGAGATCTAATTATTTCCTTTTCAGGGTAGTGATTGGTTGAGAACCCTTGCAATTACATGTAAAATTAAAACCAATCATAACATTTCAGTCACTAGCACAATTTTGAAGTGAGTATTGAAATTAATCCTGAATTGCATTGGGTTTGCTTTACTTCTGTCTGTGATTGGTCTAGAAAGCTTATGCCACTCTCTAGACCAATCAAATGCAAAACTAAAATCAGTCATGTCTTGGTTGCCCACATTTTCCTGTGCTTTAGGCAGTTTGGTTGGTTTTTTTTTTTTACTTTGAGTTCTTGTTACCTCTTTAAGGTATTTTCTTTTATTCTAATTGGCCCTTGTGATTACTTTTGTTTGGTTTTATGCCACTCAATAAAAATGTGCTCTAACTCTTGTGCCTTGGGTACTTCTCTCATTTTACTTCAGGTCTTGTGCTGAGTTTGCAAAATATTTCTGCGACCTGATTGTCCATGGTTATTACCTTTGTTTGTTGTTTCTTTCTTTTTACAAATCTCGGTGGATGTGTGCTCTTAAAGATCTATTTTTTACTTCATAAGAATAGTTGAAATTAGTCAAGTTGAACATAGTTGTAAATTATTTAATTTTTCTGTCAGTAGAAGGACTTTAACTGTAAGAGGCTATCAATGGTTTAAGTGAAAGCCTATAAAAATCTTTTGTGATATTTAATTTATAGTTATGCCTTTCAAAGGCAGCTAAAACAGATTTCAAAAAGTAATGGTTAATAATGTAATGAGATAATAATGTAATAATGGTTAATAAAATAATGGGGTAGACAAATTCTTGTCACAATCTTAGAAAATGTACTGAGAACAACTTATGGAGAAGATGCATACTGATGATGGTGTAAAGGATTAATGTCAGTTTTGTTACCATGTTTTTATAAGTTGTTTGTTTGTTATTTGTTTTCTAGTTTGTTTGCTTTTTTGTTTATTTTAGTCTTCCCCGTAAGGACTGATGTACATTAGCCAATATCTTTTATTTGGGTGATAACATTTTTCAGCACAGTCTTACAGTTATTTGGCCATTTAGTTCATTTAACACAGAAAAGTAAAGAATATAAACATTTTACTAGTTTTATTAACTTGAGCAAATATTATCTTGTTTAGGTTGACCAAAAAAGTGTGGGATATAGTTGTCCACTCTCATGACTTAGTATTATCAGCAGGGTTGATAACATAAATTGGCCACTGTAAAGGGTTTCAAAGTTGACATTTCAAACATCAGAGCCCTTTCTCAGTTTTTGCTCTGACAATGGGCTAATGTGCAAAAGTAAGCTTTGAAACTCTTTATGATGGCTAAATTACATCATAAACTCAGGTGATAATACTAAATTACCCTGTTACACTCTCCCACCATTGCAGCACCTCAGTTTCTTTGGAATATACCCACCTTCACTGTTATGATTGTTCAATTTATGACCTTTTTTGGTTGAGTTGTATTTACAGTGAGGTGAGTTTCTAATAAAGGAATACCTTTTAAGGATATTGCTGATACATTGACAGGGTGGTAATTTTGGAACATTTCTTTTTGGCTTCTAATTCTAATCTATTTTTTTCTTTCATTTTGTATAAGAGTCTTTCAAAATGACAAAATTCACAAATGATTATTAGCATTTTAAAAATAGCTATAATCAGTATTTCTCATGAGGATTCAAAGGCTGGGTGTCCATCATCAAGCTACATTCTTTACTGAATGCAAAAATTAAGAACAGTTATACTTTAGAAGGAAACTCTCGAGTGATATGCCATATTCACAGGGATAAGGAAGAGAAGAAAATTCTAGAAAGCAATAGCGTGTAACACCTTAGCCCGTAACTATTTGTATGTACGTGATACGGACCTCATTCGTTCCATTTTGCCATCATGGCGTCCTTCTCGACTCTCAATGAAGACTGCCTTTGCAGAATTATTTCATTTTTGGACGATCCTAATTCCTTTCACAGCGTCGCTCTCTCCTGCAAGAGGGTTCAACAGGTGATTAACAACACTCGGAGCATTCTCCATCCAAAGTTGCTGCGAGCAAAAGCTGAATATTACATAAAATGCTACCTTGTGGAAATCACCGATGGCAGGAGAGACTACAACAAGTTTAGAAATCTGGAGAATCTTCTGTCCAATGCTGCGCGCCTTACAGCAGCTAAGGAACTCCTGACTTATACGAAAGTGGTAAAAGTTTGGGAGAGAAACGGACCCGTGGCAGCTAAATTGTTTACATGGATCAGAAATCTGGAGAGTAGAACAGAAGAAGGCGAACCGCGAGCGACTTGTTTTAAAGAATACCAAAGTGTCACGTTGCATTTGTCAGGCTGTGACAAGGACTTAAAGATCGATACCACCTACTTTCATGATCACATCGGTAATTACGACAACGAGTTGAGCATCCACGTCACTTGTGGAGATTTGGATGTAAAGTCAGAAGGTGAGTTTTCAGGTTGTTTTTGATTAAAGATTAGTTGACTACAGTGCAGATAACAGTGGAACTGATTGAGATAACTGAATCGAGAGAGTGATTGACTAGGTGACTGACTGACTTAGTACTGTGAGAGTGACAGACTGACTGACTGATACTATGACAGCCCCATGTACCTAGGCCTTTAGTGACTGACTGTCTGCCTGAGACTGTAATTGGCTATCTGACTGATTGATACAGTGGCTGACTGACTGACTGAGAGATTGGCTGACCTACTGACTGATCATCTCATTAGGAGAGTCAACAGGCTTTACTGACTAACTGACAGACTCAGTGTTTGACAGACTGACTGAATGAATTGATTGAGTGAGTCTGGGATTGATAAATTGACTGATCCAGTAAGCATCCTTTATTTATGCCATGCCTGGTTGGGTTTAACTGGTGAGTTTTATTATTCCAGCCAAAATAATTGTAAAAAATTTGAACTGAAAATAGGACTTGTTTGGCAAACGTGGGTGTGGGTGACGATGGTGACCCCCTCTTTTTAGGGAAAACTGACAATTTATAAGAAAAACAAGCATGCTTTTGAATGCCAGGAGAAGTTAGTATAGGACCCTCTAATGATTGTCTATAACAAAGTGCTGTGTCATGAAAGTTTATTATTTTTGTGGCAATTTCGGTCAAGTTGCCATAGTACATCTCTTGTTATTTATGCACAATTCTATGTTAGCAGACTGTCTCTTATGTTATTTTGACTATATGGTTAAATTAATATTTTAAAGCTAAAATACCATTTTGTGTAGATTTTACCCGCTATTGCCCAGATGATTATGAGTATTGGGAAGAAAGTGAAGTTCAAGCTGCAGTGAAACCAATGAAACCAGTGGTGGAACTCCTGCAAAAAGAGCTTGGTGAGACAGTTCCTCCCATAACAAACAATTTCTTCATCTGGCTGTGTTACTTCTTTCCGCACCAGAACACCTTGGCAGTAGAACACAAACTCAGGTTTAAAGACCTGTCCAGGAATGAAAAACCCACCCCAGGCCATGTTCAGCCAGCGATAGATCTGTTTCACCAGAACCTTCAAGCTGAAACCAAGTTGAAGAACCTAGTGTCTGAATGGAATAATACTCATTCAAACCTTCCCAGTCTGATTGCTGAAACTATGGCTGTCTTGATCCAGAGATCAGAGACAAAATTCCTTGAAAAGCTCCAAAGAGATGCCAATGGCTTTTATGAGATTGCCTCAGACCTTAAGCAGAAGCCACTGCCCAAACCACTTGTGCAGGACTTGCTTTTGCGAACAGAGCTTGAATTTAGTGATTACAGCCCTGGTACAGTTGCAGACAAGTTTGTAGAAAGCAGAGCTTCATTCAGGTTTTCGGGAGGTAAAGTTGTGAAAGCTTGGGGTGGCATGCGTGGGGATGGGGCAAGTTACCCAACTTGGGATGAATTGAAGCTTAAAGTCACCTTACCAGATGGCAAAGAATTGAAACTGAATTCAGACCGTACATACAGGAGGAAAACTATTCAAGTTGAAATGTTGAGTCCAGTTACGGAGCTATTTCAGAAGGGTGCAAATAAATGCATGGAAGGAGAGGGGCGCATCCCCAAGTTAGATGACCGCTTTACAGCCTACTATCTTTTGCATGCCTTGAATTTTGGTGGAGAAGAAGAAACATTCCTCGGAGAGGATGATGAAAATGTGAGCTGTTCACAGTCTAGTGAGGAAGGATCATATGAGGGGAGTGAAGAAGAACAGAGTGAAGAGGAACATAGTGATGAACAATGAACTTTTCACTTACTTTATGGCTTTAAACAGTATTTTATTCATAAGGACAGTTGAAATTAGTCAACATGTCAGTGCAAGGACTGTGTAACTTTAATAGTCTAACATAGGTTTAGTGAATGCCTTTGGAAATCTTCCTGAATGTGTATTTTAAAGTTATGTCTTTCAAAGACAGAAAGAGCAAATATCATTAATCAATGAAATGAAGAAACTAGTTTGCTCCATTTGGCTGTAAAACAGTTCAATTGTTTTATTTATCAGCAGAGTAGTATTTATAGTCTATTGTAAGTTGGATATTCTAGCTCAAAAGAAGCTGTAGCACATTTTAAATTTATTCCATCTGCAATAAACAGCACTTCACATATCAGGGGAGGTAATTTTAAAATTTCCATGACAACAAATAGCCCCTTAACTGAGGAAGAATTGATAATGCAGGTTTGGGGTCTGGGAAAGACACTCGCTAAGAGAGATATCTAATTATTTCTTTTTCAGTGCTGTGATTGGTTGAGAACACTAGCATTTACATGTAGAATTCAGACCAATTATAAAGACTCAGTCACTGGTGCAATTTTGAATTGAGTATTGAAATTAATCCGTAACTGCATTGGGTTTGCTTTACTTCGCTCTGTGATTGGTCCAGAAAACTCGCGCCACTCTCTCAACCAATCAGATGCAAAACTAAAATCAGTCACGACTTGATCGCCCGCGTTTTCCCGCGCTTTAGGCAGTTCGGTTGTTTTTACTTTGAGTTCTTGTTACCTCTTTAAGGTATTTTCTCTTCTTCCGATTTGCTCTTGTGATTACTTTTGTTTGGTTTTATGACACTTAATCAAAATGCGCTGTAACTCCTGCACCGGAACGAGTACTCCTATTGTATTACTTCTGAGGTCTTGTGATTGTCTGTAGTAATTACCTTTTTTTAAAGAATCTTTATGGATGTGTGCTCTGAACATTGGCAGGCCATCACCTGATGGGAATTGATGTCACTCTAAGTGAACTCACAAGATTTATTCGTGCGATAGTCTTGCAAGTGCAGACTGTGGTCTAACCTCTGGTGCACGAGCTTGTTTCACTTTAATACGTTTTCCAGTTTCTGTTACTGAAGCCGATTTCAATCTGCCAAATACCTCAGTACCTTGTACGAAGTTAAAACGTGTTGTTTCAAAGTTGTCACGCCATGCTCGCAGTTCCTGGTAACTTGAAAATTCAATTTTGTTATGGATGGATAGCGAACTCAGCTCTGTCTGTATTTTGTCGGTGGTTTCCGATAGCGTTTGAATATTTGCAATATCCTTTGCATTTTGCAGCAATGTCACACTGTTGTCTTCCGGTGTCACATTATTTTCTTCTGGTGTCACATTCTTTTCTTCTGGTGCGTGTAGAGCTGATTGTTTACGATTGGCGTCCCTTTCTTCATTGCGTTGGTTGTTTCCTCTAGCTTCCAAACATTTGCTTCGACCGTCGTTTTCTTCTTTCGAATTTTTGCCCTTTGATTGATCCTTTGAAGTGGATAAATCCTCATTGAATGCTTCAATGGAGCCATGTATTTCTTTGTTTTTATAAGATTTCTGTTTAGCTCCTTTACTATTTGACTCTCTTTCCTTCAAGTCGAAAGATTCTGTTATCATATGTCCGCTTCCGTCTTCTGACTGTCTTGGCTTTTTTATGTCAAGCAACTTCATGTGGTTAATATTCTTCGAAAGCCTAGTGGCTTTAAAATAATTCTCAGTGTTCGTCAACTTCACTGGATATCCAGGAACAGCTCTTCGCTTATCTACGGGTGGAAGTTTAAGTTTGGAATCCAAGGGAACCGATTGTGTGAAGAAAATTGAATCCATTCTCCTCTCTTTCCGTGGGTCCCTTCCATGTTCCTTCGTGTTCGGCCGATAGATTCCCAGGGATTTTTGACGATCAATTATTTTGAGTCGACGAGCATTTATCAGCGACATTTCAAAAAAGAAATATCTTTCCCGCATTTTCTTTTCCATTTCAATTCGTTTGACCTCCATGTTTAAAACAATCTGATGTTTCCTGTTTGCTTTTATTACCGTGGCTTCACTGTCTTGGTGTGAGGCACTCCGAATGTGTATCATTTTGATTAATCTCTGAGTAAACTTTGAACGAAAAGTCACTCGATGTTTAATTTTCTGTACTATAAATATGTACTGTATCGCATAAATCGTTAAGATGTTTCTCGTGGTTTCTCTAAAACCAGTTGTTTAAGGTGATTCCACCCAAAGAATTGATATTTATGGTGCGACTTTTTCTCGTTGATGCTGTAGTTACTCGATGGAAACCAAACAATAGATCTTTTTGTGCAAACAAGTTATTATAAATCTACTGAATTTACGGTTGCCACAGGACTCGGATCAAATTGAAGTATTTTAAGTCCAAAGAGTTTACCAGATATCTTTTAGGCTTTTTGTGGTGAATGGGGCTGTAAAAAATCAGAGTAAAATCGATATCGACCGTGTGTTTGTTGTGTTGTATTCCACGCCTCCAACTTTAACTGAAGTGATTTTGTTTCACCATAGACGCGAAATTTTTGCTGGTCCAGTTGCTCTGCTGAACAATTACCTAGAATTGGCTGAGAAAATAGTTCAAGTAGCTTTCAGTGCCTTTTCCCCAACAATTCTCAAGTTGTTGCGAAAGTTGATTTCTTTAAAGTGCCATCGTCTGTTTTCAGCAATGACCTTGGAAACGGAAGTCTTTTGGTGGTCAGAGATGGATTTTCTATTTCATAGCAACTCAAACTGTTTGTTTAGTCGTAGAAAGTAAAGCGTCAAAATTCCATAGGTATCACGTTGCCAACGCGAGTTCTTTAGTATCCCATCTTGGGTTGTTTCCCAGACAATTGTTGGCCTTCTGTCAGAAACACAATCACCAGCTTGCCGTCTCTCTAAAGGATTTATTGCTAGTGAGATTAATTAGTTCGTTTGCTTTCAATCCCGAGAGAATGGTGTGAGATAATGATACTCAAATATTGCAGTATTTTGATGCAAATTCCTTTGTTTGTCTTTACCGCAGAATCAGCCAATTGGACGGACTTTTGCTCTGACGACTTCGCTAACACTTAATTGCGATAATCAACTTTCGCAATGTCAATATGTAATTACTGTAGGTTTTATTAGGAGAGCGTAAAGTCCCAGAAAAAATCTTGCAAAATATTGGGAAAGACTGATCCTATTTTTGCATATTGACGAGAGCAAGAATGGGAACTTACAAGGTCATCCTTTAAATATAGTTCTGTCGAATTTGTATTAGTTTTTGAACACAGCGTTTTAGCTTAAAAGTCAATGAAAGATGTCGAAAGTAACTGTGAAGTTAAGTGGTCAAATTGTAATAAATTCACCCGCCGCCACAAAGTCTTTGTTACTGAGGTTCCACCCTCTATTTTTTAATCCAGAGCATTCTTCTTCCTGTAGCTTTTAATTTGATTTGGACAGACTTACAAGTTCATTCATACCATGCTCTTTTTATTCAGCATTTTTCGGTTCTTTCTTAGCTTATCTTGGTTTGCTTCTCAACCTAATCAGAATTCACCGTTGTCCCAAACGCATGTAAATAGGTTCCACAGTTGGCGAATCCGTTTTTTTTTCTGCCTTTTTTTAATGGTTTCCAACAATTGCCAGGCTATGAAGAAGTTGCATCCATCCACGCCTTCAACGGATGCGGGGCGGGTTTTGATCTACAGGTCTACGGTTATCAGAAGGTCTCTGTGGGATCAATTGATAGCCGGAAAAGGGCCATAAAATTTAACCTTTAGGAGTAAAAATTGATAAATTTTAACCGATAGTCGTAAAAAAAGTTGGCCGTAAAAACCAATTCTAGGGATAAAAATGGTACGATATTAAACGTTAGCCATTAAACGGCCAAAATTTTAACCGTTAGCCGGTTAATCTACTGAGACCCTACCATCAGTTGGAGCGAGATCTGGATACTTGAATCGGATAGGGCAACATTGTGAAACTTGATTGTGGTAACTAACTCCAGCGTAGAAGTGCGGAAGAGAAAAAAAAATTAGAGAAATGTTTCCTATCAATTTCCCGTTAAAGCCTAAATTTTATTTCAGGCCTCTTCTTTGTATTTCCTTCAATTGCAGCTCGCCTACCGGGATCGTGGTTTAACTTGGATGCAAGAATGGAGTTTCATTTTAACAGTCACGTAGCAGTGAAGGGATTAAATAAGAACTTTACCTAATCGACAGATTGTCGGATGATTGTCGGGCGACTGCTTACCGACACTTTGATCGGTTAAGCGTCGGCCGAACGTTAGCCGACTCATCGGCGTGACATTTGATCTACCAGATCTGTTTAGTTATTCGTAAGTGTCCTGATTACGAAAACAATCGTTTGGGTCACTTTCTCGTCGTAAAAATTGGAATGATCACTCTGTTCTCTAATAGAATAAGCGCTAATAACAATAGGTTGCTACGGCAAACAAACATCAGCAAGATTATAATAATCCGAAAAATAATTCACAAAGACAGCTGAGGATGGAAGAGATAAACGAGCTGCGAATGACGAACTGTGACGTCACTTCATATGCTACGTGCTTGCAATGACGCACTAGAGTCAATTGTAGCTTAAAACTGCCCAAAGTCAAGTAATTCATGGACGCCCTTGCATTGTGTTAAAAGAGGGTATTATGGTGCTTGTTCGGGTGTGGGAGTGGTGGGGGGGGGGGGGTGGGTAGAGTGAATAGAGGAATTGTGGGTTGTGTGATTTAATTATAGAAAGAGGGAGTTACGTTATTAGCAAAAACATGTTTACGTGAAAAATACTAGAGAAAAATTTGTTGAAAGAAAATAATTCGCTGATACCGAGGCGGGGATTAAGAATGTCGATGAGAAAGATACATTCTTGCTCTAGAGTTTTGCAGCTTTCTGAACAGCCTAGATGCAAGGAAAGTTTGTTCTGACGAAGTGCTTAGGCTCATAACGTCAGCTTCAAAGTTCTTGACGATAGCCAGTTTAGATTACCTACTCAGTTGGTAAAACCGATGTTTCTTGTTATACACTCCACCGACGGAGCCATACGGCGTCTTTTCTGGAAACTCACCCCCTTTTTAATTTTGGGATAACCTGGGTTTATGGCAGAAGAGGGAAGAAATATCTGTCATTTAATGAGGGTAGAAATGTTACGGAACGCTTCTACAGTGTCGTCATCAATGGATCTCTTATTCAGTTGAAAGGTCTCTCCACCAAGAAGAACAAAAACGGCGAAAACTGTTTTGGCACCTAAGCATTAACAAACAATACTGCTGATGCATGGACGTATAATTTAAAATATTTAACACCAGGAAAGTTTTCCCAGAGGATGCGACTCGAAGTATTTTTCCGGTAGTTAGCGAAAACTTTATGTTTGGTCATGACCTACCTGAGGTTAACAAATTGCTACTGACTGACACTTGTATTAAAAATCGGGCAGGAAACGGTCTTAGCCCTTCTCGTAAAGATTTTTAACGGTACGCAAAGAAGGATGAACTATAAAGCA